CATTAAATAAAGTCGGATAAAAATAGGTAGATTTAAATTTTACACGGACAAGTACATGTTTTGTAGCATAACTCAACTTCTGACACACCAACAAGTAAACTTGTTTTCAACTTCCGTTGGTAAAAGAATTAAGAATGTCATACAAGTAACTTTGACGAAATAAAGTTGTCATTCAGAATACGCCAAATGAATATCAGTACAAAATATACTTTTTTTTTTCACCATATTTGTTTTATTGAATCTCTGAATTAATCAGATATTGGAGAAGAAAAACATGTTTTTCTTCAACAGGTAATAATAATTTATAACGTGCCTTTTCCAAAGGTTACAAAACGTGAGCAAGGACACCTCTGATATCAGGTTAAAATAAAGACAAGGCGATTTGTAGCAAAATTTAATTATAAATAGCAAGGGGTTAACCTTACATTTTCCACTAAATTGATCAAAGGGTTACTTTCTTTCAAACGACACGGAAATCCCTGTTGATGCAAGAGGAGATTCATTAAGTATTCATCAATAAACAACTTGAATGTATTGCACAAAAGTAAATGATTTTTGAAGAAACATTCCATTACTGATTGATTTTGTCCTATCTATCCAAGAGACGTGTAGGAACGTGCTTCAGGTTGAGCATCTTCACTGCGAGTTTGCAGCAATTTCACTTTCAACGCAAAATTGGCCAAAAAATGACAAGGGGTTAACCTTACATTTTACCGAGATTTGTGGTCAAGTATTTAATATCACTCATTACCAATCAGTTTTGAATATTTGGGCAAAGATGATAACATTGGGGGGGGGGGTTCAGTTGTGCCTGATTTCGACTGTTTCCTAGTTTTATAGAAAAGGCCTTTCCAAATTGAGAAGCATTTTGAGAGAAATGAAAAAGTTCCAAAAGTAGACATCATAGGTTAGAGTGAAGCTTCATGTTGTAGCCTCATGTAGTTTGTACCTCCTTCTTGGCCAATGTCCTCCAAGATGTTTCTGCCAGAAGACGTCTTCGGAAAACCTTCAAGAAAAGAACGCAAACGGTTTTTAAGTATCATTTATAATGAAATATCTGTAGCACTTTTTCCCATATTGAAATTGAATCTAGATGTGGCAATTCAACTGTTTGCCAGAGATATATTGGAAAGACATTATTTTAAGGAAATACATTATTGAAAGGTCTCAAAAACAAATGAAAATTTGGTTGCTTCCTGCAATTTTAGGAAATTCATTTGCAAAACACCCCATCCAGTGTAGAAATGCAACTGTATCAAAACTGATTAAACAAACATTTTGAGCAGTTATACACCATTTCCATGGTCTAAAGTGCACTAGTTTTTTACTTGCCTTGGCCTACAAGAACCTTCGGGTTTTGCAAGAACGAGTCACAAGTGAAAATTGTCTCATTAAGATTGCTTCAGTCAATAATTCAACAACAACTGAGAATAGTTACCTCAGTAAACATACAATCTTGTTCCGAGGTCTCCATAATTTTGCCATTTCGTAGTCAGTACACCTGCTGAAAATACAAAATTAAATCAAGAAATATCAGCAATGCAAATTAACAGTTGCAATATACATTGTATTTTCTTACACATTAAGGCAAGGTGTGGTTCTCAAGCGCTAATTTCTTTTCGTTTTTTAAGAGGCTTTTTTTGGAGAAAAGTAAGCTTGGGATGATCTAATTTTGGAGGTAAAACATTGGATTTAGATTTTAGGTTTGGAAAGTTGTTAATTAAATCAGCCAGGTTAAAAAGAAGTTTGCTCATTCTTATGCTTACCACTAAGATGTTCACTCTGCTCAGTTTTGACGAGACAATTTTCTCTAGATTCTGATGCCATCTGCCTCCAGCATTTGTGCTGTCAGATGAAATTTACCTCAAGAAATAGATAAATAAATACAACAATTTTACCAAATGTTTTAACCAGAATCGTCTTTTAAATTAAAAACAATTCTGCGGTGATGTTTGATAGATGTTCTTCAACTCTAGGTACTTCTCTTGCACTATTGATCCTTTTTTATTTCAACACCAAACCCTTTTCCATCTTCAAGAGTGCACCAATTGGCACAATGATCCAAGCATGTTTTTTTTTTTCAAATCAACAATTAATGTTCTTTCTTAATTCAATTCCTTTTCAAATATTTCTTTTCCGGTTATTTTTTCCCATGTTCTTAAAATTTCATTTTTTAAAACTGAAGCACAGTTATCTCATCGCTAATAAGATCTCAATGGATTTTGACTGCAAATTTGAATTTCTGTTCGCAAAACTTCCTCTTGTCATGGAATTGAATGTTTTTTTTATTAAAGTTTTTGGTGTTTTAAGGCAATCAGCCCTAATCTTCCATCCTTTTTGGAAATAAAATATGAATTGATGTGATCCGCTCAGTGAACATGATTCAGAATTACTGAAAACAACTTTTTGGAGCAATTTTTCAAATGGGTTTCAAATAGGATGAAATGGAAATGCCAAATTTGGACCAAAATGGTATAGTGTTCAGAGATTTATATCTTTTGTTATTAGAAAACAGATTTTTTTTTTTTTTTTTTTTTTAAAGTTAATGCCACAATAAAGAATTCAAATTGCGATTAACTGATTCCTGTTCACTGAGCAGGTCAAATATCCTGGTAAGGTCTGTTTAAACAGGGCCACCACGAGAAGGTCCCAGGATACCAGCCCCAACACGCTTTCAGTATCGTCAGGCCCATTGCTGGATAAAAGGTAGGCCCCGGAGGGCCAGACACAGTTATCGACTGTCCGGTCCGCCCGCCCAGCCCCGAAGGACCAGGAAAGCACCCTAACCTATATGCGTGCCCCCCTAAGTCCATCCCCCTTACGGGTTCATGCGGTCTGATAGGAAGTAGCAGCGTTTGCCGGCTGTGAATACAGGGCCACGCCCCTATAAAGAGGGACGCACTACCTGCTCCTTTATGGCACGGCATCCTAGGGTTTCCAGGCCGCTGCGTAGGACCCACGCCCCACGTGGAAGGCGGACCTACCACGCGGACGCAACTCGCCCCTTGAATCTGTGCTGGATTTTCGCCGCACCTCAATTGAAGCACCCAGTCAGACTCCAATTAGTAATCGATACCGCCGCACCACCCTAAGCCCTAACGGCATAGGGATATAGGAGATCCCATAGCCTTATAAGTTTTCAGCGGGATATAGCAGATCCCCTGAACTAAAAAAAAAACCTAATTAGAGAGTGAAATTTTCATTTCACTAATTGGTGATCCAATTTATTTTTAAAAAAAAATGATTTTCCGATGGCTGGCTGGCTGGCTCCCCGGCTGGCTTGGCTGATTGTTGTCTTGCTATCGATTCAAAGATGACAGTCTAAAATGAGGGGTTTACTTCTAAAGAATGTTTATGCCATAAAGGCAGTGCACAAGCTAATTAAGTACAATTTATTGGAGCCTTGCAGCAGGGGCAGATCCAGGGGGCAAGTTTCCCACTAATAGTACTGAGGCCAAAAATTATCAAATTTTGCTTCCCATGGAGTAGATTCCCCCCCCCCCCCCCCCACGATTGCCACCCAAGATCCACCCCTAGATGGACACGGGGATATAGATGATCCCATAGTCCTGCTGGTGTTGCATTTGGATGTAGGGATATACAGATCCCATAATCCATCTTGATCCTGGAGTGTTTGCAGCAAACGCTCAATTTGAGCCGATGACACATGCTCAATTTGAGCCGACGACCTGTGGAAAAACCACCACCCCAAAACACATACATGCACCACCACCAACCCAGTCATGTGGTTGCCAAGGGCGATTTCTAAAGGTTACACAACATTTCATCTTTGAAAATTGATTTCTCCCGTTTCGAAAACCGTATCTTCATGAAACTTTCGGGGCTTACCTTACTCATAATGATCCAAGCTAAAAATCATTGTGATGTGTTCATAACTTTCGTTGAAATTGGATAAATATTCCTGGCTAAATACGTGCATCATTGAGAGTTGTAACACTGACGTTTGCAACAGCTGTTCTTTTCAAGCCTCACGAATATTAATAAGGTTCCTATCCATTATGGTGTGCAGCAAAATTTTGAGAAAAGCCTCCTTCACGAGTTAATTGATAAATATCACCCTTTTCGTCAGCTTCCATTGGTTGATACCGAGACTCATGCCAAAACACGCAGAGAGACACTGATGAATATGCTAATCTACAATACGAAATTGCGTGGCTTGGCCAAAATCGGTCAACCATAGCACCTAAGGAGCTTTGCTGAACGATGCATGTTACTTGGGTTGGCAGAAATCATCGTCGATATTTTCCATGGAGATGGTTCAAATTGTAGCGTTTGCAACAACATATTAAGCTGAAATTCGGAATATATTTAGATGATATAAGTGTTCAACTTCTCGCGAAATAACAATTTTGAGAAATTCCTAGAGAAAAAGCTATAAATACAGAGATTTGGGGAAGTTTTCGAAGGTCAGCTATACCAGTAACCAGTATTGACGTTTTGGCATCGATGAAAACGGCAATATTTTTACTGACATGAAGCTAAGAATTTCTTCTTCCATTATAATTTAACTTTTCAATCATACTTTGCATAAGAAACACAACGTTCCAAAGGCCATAATTTTTGTGGTGCATGAATTTCACTGCTCTGCTATAGCGTCTAAGTACGTAAGTAGATTAGCTTTGCTTCACAACGGCAGATGCTTTGCCTTAGCAACCACATGACTGAACCCACATGGTCACAACACCTATCTGAACCACACTGGAAAAATGTTATGTCAAATTCTTACGGTGAAAATAGCATTCCAATACATTTTTTTTAATTTGAAGATTATTTTTCAATCCTCAAAACAAAATATGCTCACATTGCAAGAGAAAAGTGAGAGTTAATTTTTTTTTCTGAAAGCATATGAAATTTTTTTATTTTGTTTTCAACCGTATTTTAGAGGTTTATCAAGTGTAAACTCAACTCGTGAGAGATCTCCTGGAAGATTTGCAATTACATTTCTCAAGGGTGGTTTCAGTTGTACACACAATAATGGAAAGGAAACAAGAAAACTCTGGCTCACTCTGAGAAATCCTTCGAACGACTCCACTTGCAAACTGTACTTGGGTCTTGAGATCCTGGGTCTTGGGTGTTCACTGGCTCAATTTGAGCGCTAATGGCTGAAACAAAGGGTTAGTCCTACCTTAGTGAACACATCTAGCTGACTTGTTTCTGGCTGGCAGGCTGGCAGACTGGCTGGCTGGCTGGTTCTGCGGCTCCCTGATGGCTGGCTGGCTGGCTGCATGACTGGCCGGCCAGCGCTTGCTTCAATCTTGCTTATCAACTGTTGAAACACACAACAAAAGGGGGAAAAATTGAGTTACAGTACCAAAAAATCAGATGAAGAGTGGATATACAGTTAACAGTATCAAGGGTACAATAATATAAACGAAAATAATGCTCAATTGGATACATTTATTTTTTTTACAATTGAGAAAACTGTGTGTACAGTTGTACATGTACGACAAAGCACAAGCAAAAGACCATGTACGTTTTGTGTGTCCATGTTCACTTTTTATGTGAACGTCTTGGTGCCAAACACTGACTCTAGTCACAGATTCCCGTGTTTGAATTTACGCAATTGTTATCTGAATGATCTATTGAACGGAAGTTGAGGTCTATATTTATAATTTTTATAAAAAGTACTCAATTAAAAATGTTTTCAATCTGTTGTATACTGAAATGCTTTCTTTTCTTTCTAAGTACCCATTTATTGCCCTTGATTGGATGGGCCCAGTCAGGGCACAAAATAAATGGGGAAAAATGGTGCCTGGATACGGTATAGTTTCGTAAAATCTTGCACGTTTCTGAAGTAAACCTACACCCTCTGTTCTTTCTTAGCAATTGTCATTACAGTCAAATATACAGATGGTTTTATAACTTTTCACTGACAAAGTGAAATGTTCTGGTACTCTCTTGCTCAGGAATGGGGGGGGGGGTGGGGTAGGGGCTGTATCAATGCTGAATAAATTTGACTAAGAATAAAAGACAATTTTAATTTGAAACAATTGCATACAAGAGCCGAAACTAATGAGGAAAATTACCAGTTACACTGAACACATGACAATTTATTGGCTTCTTGCAAGTAAAATTTTGTGTCTGGAAATATCTTGTAAAAATATAGCAGAAAAAAATATGGTTTACCCCTGAAAGAGTTTATTTTTAAATTCCAACTGATTTTTTTTTTTTTTTTTTTATGCACCTTTCGGAATAGCAGATCTGTCCTGGAAAAATGTAGCAATGTGTATTAGGGGCCCTTGGGCATCTATCTTGCAAATTTAACGCAATTTCATTTTTGGCCAAAAATTGACGGAAAATCATTGCAAGGGGTAAAACAATAGATTTGTCACTCAATTTGGTCAAAATGGACTTTTCTGCACATGACTTTAAAGAAATAGCTTTCAGAAGAGAATCTGTCTGTATTCATGCATCCAGAATTTTGAAGAATTGAGCAAAAATAATCAGATTTTATGGAAAACATGCATCATATATTTTACTGATTTTCCCCAAACTTTTGGACACTATCTTTTGAATGGCACATCTGTCCAGGAAACTTGTGTGAATGTATTTTTATAGGGACCCGTGGGTATCTTTCTTGCAAGTTTTGAGCAATTTCATTTAGACCAAAACTGAAACACAAATTGCAAGGGGTTAATTTTAAACGTTTTAATAAATTTAGTCTAAAATTTACTTTTCTTCAAACACCCCATAGAATCATTTTGATGCAAGAGGAGCACATTTTAGTATTCGTACCCAAACACCATTGCAGGTTTGAGCAAAAATAATCAACATGGCGGTGAATTTTCATGTTGACTCATCTTGCCTAAAATAGTTGATGTAATTTTGTTTCAGTTGAAAGGCACATCCATCGCAGAAATGTATAGGGATAAGTTTTGGGGCTATTGGGCATCTTTGCAGCATGTTTGGAGTAATTTGATTCAGCCAAAATTGAAATAGTCTCAAGGGTTAACTTTACGTTCTTTACTGACATCCAAGAATCCCTGAAACGCATGCCTACACATTTCCTAGACAGATGTCGTCAAAATGCAACAAACTGCTTCTTTTCAAAAAATTTAAAATATATCCCAATTGACTTGCAAAAACTTTATGGTCTAGAGCATATAGGCCCTATACACTGGTAAATATCTGTTTATTGGTTGGTTTTAAGAGTACTGAAAAAAGTCATGCTATAAACTGTAATTATTTAGAAAGTATGACTTGACCCTCTCAATTAATTTATCAAATTGTTAGTTTACCTAAGATGCAAATCTTGTCTCCTTTCATCTGCTTAAGAGCTGTCTTGAAGTCTGCAACACTGGTTCTGATGACAGCTTTCTTAACTTCTGCTGAGAGTCTCATGCAGGTTGAAGAGACCTTACTTCATCTGATGGACCATCTGGGAAACCACTAGGAAAAAAAAGGAAAAAAATGTCAGCATCGATGAACAGCAACAGTCTAATTCTGATACAATGTTAAACAAAGTCAGGCATGAATTCGGATTTTTCAGTGCTTTATGGGGAAGAATGACCGAGTTTGCAGGTTTAGGGAATTTATTTGGTATTGAATATGTTGTTCGTTTGCTTTTTTTGAGTGGTGGGGGAGGGGGAGGGCGAAATCGTGTGTTACACTACTGCTTGAAAAAAAAAAAATGACCAAACTGGGGCAAGCTTTAGCTACATGTAGGTTTTACTTTGATTCCATCACAACAAATGGCAAAATTTTACCAAATTTGGTCAAAAATTGACTTTTCTGCACATGAATCAGAGTCAGACATGTTTGCAAGAGAAACATACATTCATCCACAATTTTGACAATTTAGGCAAAACAAATCAATTTTTAGGGGGGAAAATTGTCATATTAAACTGTTTTGTCCCCAAATTAATGCATATATACGCATTATTTCTCTGGAATGGCATATCTGTCCGGGAAACGTGCAGGAAGGTAAGTTACATACATATATGTACTATGGAATTGCCCAATTATGTTTTGACTCATTTTGCCCTCAATTTTTGATGCATATATTTTGAGCAATGTTTTTTTCAGGGACTGTTGACCATATGTTATACAAGTTTCAAGAATTGTTGTTACTGTCTAATTGAAATAATTGCGGAAAGATTCCCATATCTGGCCATCGCTAATTTTTCCCTTCAATGACCTATCAGCCATCAGAAAATGATAACAGGCCTATGTCCTAAAAAGTTAAAATTAGCAGGGAAAACATTAAAGTTTTTACTCGAGAAAACACTTAGAAATGTTCAGACCAGTCTCATTGGCAGAGGGTGACAATTGATGGCCAGATATGGGAATCTTTCCCCACTTTTGTTCATACATCAATATCATCTCAAAAGGTCAGTCATTACAAAAATGATGAAAAGACATGAATACGGGACTGTCGGAGAAACATTTCCGATTATGAACTCAACTCTCCATAGAGTTTGTAGACAACCAAAGAAGAAGTGTCAGGATTCTACAGTAATTCTTTCCCACTTTTGCAATGACTGACGTTCATGGAGATAAATAATCAATTATCATGAAAACAATTAAGTGGCGTCAGGATGCCATATTCTTTTCAATTTCTCCTCTGAAGTCAGCGTGCCGAGTGGAAAATCGTGTGCTTATCGCAGCGCCATTTGGGTGTTTACATAAATGTGGAGGCCAGTGGTATAATGCACATTCTTTCCTTTCATGGGGCATTTCCATGTTAAAATAACCAACTTGCTAATATTTGTGTTTTTACTTTATTGCCCATACCACTATGTACCCACTGAAATAAAAAAAAATTAAATCACCACAATGCATTTGTATAATTTTGATCAAAAATTAGCCAGAATTATGACATTTTTAGGTAAAATTGCGTGACATTTTTACAGCTTGTCCAATGGTGCACAGTTTTCATTCTTTCAATTGATAAATTTTGTCCTTTCTAATTCTAAATGATTGATGATAACCCAAACTTAATATTAAATACAATGTTCGTGCATCGGCAACTTTGTATCATTTTGACATGCCCGCTAAAAATTCCATCACTCTGTAACATTTGGTGTCAGCAAATGCTGTTACAGAGTGAACTTTACCATTGATTATAATATTTGTAGAAACTGTCAACTATTCTAAATTTTAAGTGATTATTGAAGTCTTTTATTAAATAAAGAGAGTAAAGAAGACCAAAAGTGAAATTCAAAGAAGTACAAGAAATATACCAATTTTAAATATTGGCAGATCAATTTGGTGTCATCAAAAAACATTACAGTGTGATACTTTGCAGCTGCACTCTGAATTTGACAAACTGTATTTGTCAACAAGTTTAAATAAAAATATATCCTGGAAGTTGGCTTGGAATATAGATGTCATTAAATTTTGAATCCTTCTCTTAGAATTTGAAATAAGAGGCAATAAAGGTTTGGTGTCAACACTCACTCTGTTACAGGTGAAATACCTATTTTCAGCTGAAAAAAATGAAGCAAAAGCACCTGTTTGATTGATGATTGAGTTTTTGGCTAAAATAATGACTAAGTTTTTTAATACAATGAAAACTTTGGCATAGGACAGGTTAAAGTAGAACTGCAGTGAAGAAAAGTGATAAAAGTGTTTTGGTGTTGGTGTCAGCGTTACAGGTGAAATGAATATTATAACAAACTCTGATATTTAAACTTCCAGTCTCAGAAACAAGTATCTGATGTAGAAACCATCAAGCTTATCACTAAATAGAAAGGTTTAAATGGATTGATACCATTTATTACTATTAATATTAGTTAGTTGTAGGATTGTCACTCTGTAACAGTGACTATTTGGTGAGTGTTACAGGTGAAATGTTGATTAACACCAGGCTTTACTTACAATAACATGCTTTCTAGTGGTGTTTGTATATCTTCATTGTTCTTCATAGTTGCAGTTTTGGCTGTCAAACTTGCTTTTAGAGAACAAGTGAGTGTTTGTCTTGAAATAATATAATTTCATGTCAAGTGAGAGCTACATTTATGTAATCATCATAATATGTCAAATTTCCTAAAACTTGATATTTGATTTTCAACAAATGTTGAACAAGGATAGTGTTAAAGTTTTTTTTATAACTTATATGTGTTGCAAATAGTTGCTTACAAAGCAACATGTCTTTACCATACATGAACAATAATCTGGTGAGAGCTCTAAAAGAAATTAACAATTTGGTGTCACTGCTACAGGTGAAATTTGGGTCCCATATGCTAGTTTATCATGTTGCTACTCTAAAAAGGGTCATGTTTAAAACAGAAAAACGGTTTTGTTTTTGACAAAATATAGACCCTAGACTGCAAAACCATGTAAAGCTGAATTTAATTTGGTTATTTTGAAAATTTGACCCTAATGTCACACACTGGCCTCCACATTTATGTAAACACCCATTTGCATTTCATGATTTGTGACGAATGTAACCATGTTAACGAGAATTTGGCCCGAGAATTCTCCTTTTTATTCTTCCAAAAAAATCACCACGTTTTAACACTTTGGTCAGTGGCTTTTGCTCAATACCTTAAGGTACTAATGTTGAGTTTACAGACAGAAAAAAAACAACTTACTTGGACTTGTGCGGTCCTGCCGACAGCTACATTTTTCCAGCTTCCACGCCCGCGAAGAATTGAAATGGCGTACAAATCACGTGTTGTCGTTTCTGCTCATCTGCTATAGTACTGAGGGTTTATGGGTAACTTGGGGGGGGACGTGTTTACCTTAAAGGTATAATACGTCCGAACACAATTTTGTCGAGAGCCAGTTAGTCGGTAGTACTAGTACGAGCTCAGGATTCCAGTTGGGATGTCCCCGTTTCGTGTCCCGAGGAGCGTTTATAATTTTTAATTTTTTTTTAACATGGGCCACTACTGTGTTTTCTCATAAAATTGTGCATGGGTGGGTGTTTAACCTGCAACATTTGGAAATTTACCCCTATGCTCCAACCACTATCTGGCCTTTCTTAAACCCTTAAGTGTTGTTTGTAGGCAGGTTTCCCCCCCCCCCCCCCCCCCCCCCCCCCAGCCCCCAACACAAACGGGAGAATTCACGCTCCAGCTGATTGGATAGATTCTGCGTGACCTGTGACCTGCAATCATGGGCGCTACCATCTTGTTTCTCGCGCTCGGTGCATGCCCGTCGTAAGCTAGACCGTCCGTGCCGCGTACCCCGTAATCGTATCGTGAGATTTTTACACAACAGTTGTCAGTAACATTCCACCATCTGGCTATAAACGTTTATACCGCTATGGCAACAAATAACATCCCATCGGCGATGGAGAAATATCTAGATGTTTTGCAACATAACAGAGGTTGGTCATCATGGTCTAGCCCCATGTGGCCTATTTACTGGACTGCCTCCGTAAACATAGGCTACACATCCACATGTACAAAAATCGTGTCGACTTTGCCAAATTTTGATTTTCACATTAAGGCTTAGTTTGTAGGTTTGTTTTGCTTTAGAAGCATACTCACCCTCTTTATAGGCTAATCAGAAAGTGCTGCCTTTTTCAGATGTATATTTTTCGTGAAATTTCCAGATTCATTTTTACACGTTTGCGTATCAAAATTTCAACATGAAATTTCACAAAAATTAGACATCTGAAAAAGGCAGCACTTTCTGACTAGCTTATAAAAGTGGGTGAGTATGCTTCCAAAGCAAAAAAATCCTACAAACTAAGCCTAAATGTGAAAATCAAAATTTGGCAAAGTCGACACGATTTTTGTACATGTGGACGTGTGGCCTATGTTTACGGAGGCAGTCCAGTAAATAGGCCACATTTATGGGGCTAACCTTACTCATGTGTTACTCCTTAGGACACCTGTTCAAAACTTCTTTTGCAGATGACTGTCCAGTACCAAAGTGACTTTCGCAGGCTAAAGCAGTCTTTTTTTCTTTGAAAGCACTTCCAAGTTCCAAAGAAAATGTGACTTTCCTGCCCTTTTTTGCAGTTTGCCATGATCTTGGTTTTTGAGTCAGTTTTCTGTTCGTCAACGTCGTGTTTTTCCCCTGAATTTCCCTCTAAAATCAAAGCCCTACCAGCCTCTTTCCACAAATTAAACCTGCCGATATTCAAGAAGGTGTCATACTGTTCAGATATACGACAAGAAATACCAGAATGTCACTTTCGAGTGTCATTTAGTCAGTTGCAGAGTCTTTTAAAACTTATAGATAGTGGATATTTTGCCGGAGGTAATGACGGCAAACTAACGTTTACTAAAATTAAAAAAATACACATTGACCGGGGTCAACAAACAACTCATTTAACCTTGGTGAAGGGCAAAACCTTTTTTGATTTATATCACCCCGACGCAAAATTCCATCTTATAATAGTTTATGCGGTACCCGCTGCTACATGTACGTGTACATCAGATGGTGGTCAAGTGGTAAGACGTCTGCACTAGAAATAGAAAGCAGGAGGTCGTGGGTTCGAGTCCCATCCGAGTGTTTTTTCCAACTTTCACTTGGGAGGTTATTACACACTGAGGATAGTGTTTTAACGTCGGTGAAGGGCAAAGCCTAATTTGATTTACATCACCCCGACGCAAAAAATTCCATCTTATATTTATTTAGCTTGATCACATCACAAATGTTGTTTCAAACAAAGACCTACCATTTCATATAGAATTAGTTTTTCTCTTTTTTTTTTTTTTTAGATGGGTCATTAATGCTTGGAGCCTCTGGTCTGAATGGCAAGTTTTGGGCTGGGTCCCTCTGGTTCTATGAAGACCCCGAGAATGCCCCGGACATCAACAAATGTAGTGCAGGAATACAGACAGAAGCCGGTGTGACTGACATCCAGTGGATTGATGAATGCAGGGTGGCTATTGCCTCAGATTCAGGTCAACATGAATTGTATTTATTTATTTTCTATTTTTACTGGGTAACCCATTTTGTGGAATCCACTGGTCGCCCATGGGACCCAGCAAAGGGACGACAATGTGAAACAAAATTACAGTTTTAGATGTGGGAGGAAAACTCCAGAATAGAATATTCTTGGGAAAACGCTTTGAAGTTGAATCAAGTAGGGACTGATAACCCTATTGGCCGAGGCAGGAATGTAAACCAAGGGCACATTGGTGGAAGACAAGGAATGTTGGGTGCGGATCTGACACCCCAAAAAATAATACTGGTGATAATGTCTGACTGTACAACCTGACTGTACTTCCTGGCCGAGCCAGGTTGTGGGAGAAATATGACAGGAAGACACAGTCAGAAGGATTTCCAAACTGTTAAGATAATTACAAATGTACATGATATTCTTACCAATTACACAAGATCCATGTTTTCATGAAACAAATCCCAATTATTAACCCTAGTAATCCCTAGTAATCTGTTAGGATGAGTACTGCATTAGTAAACAGCCTGCTTCACATAGGGTTGGGAATACCACAAATAAACAGAGTCCAACTGTTTATGTGCAAAGTTTACCATATGGTGGTGTGATTTGCAAGGGTGAGGAAAGTTCCTAGTACATAACCCTAGGAAGTTGGGGTAAATCTACATGAAGGTTGTTATTTAATGGCTTGAATGTCCTTTTTTTAACAGGTGCCATTGAAGTATGGCAACTGGTAAACAGTCGAAGTGCATTCAGAAACTTGTTTTACTTGTACGAACATGACAATGCAGTCCACAGTATCAGCATCAACTCAAACAAGACCAGGGTCATCAGCGGATCCTCAGACAAACTGTAAGTAATATCAGCAACTTTTACTTGTTCCCCACCCCCCCCCCCACCTTTCTCTCTCCAATCCCGAACCCAAATTTTTTACTCCATCTCAAAAAAAGTTTAATCTCCTCCAACAATAATGAAATGTTAAAGTTTTCCAGCTGCATTCCCCACTTCATGTACATGTATTACATAATCCTTTGAGCGCAAAAAAATGTATATTTTTCAGAGTAAAAGTTTGGGATTTAGCTTCGCAAACATCAGTCTTAACCTTGAGAGCACACACAGCCAAGGTGGAATGCGTGGTCTGCAGCCCTAATGAGCTGGAGGTATTTTTGTCATGTTCACAGGTAAGAGTTTGGAGATCATATTTATAAAAAGAAATAAGTGTAGATCAAAATGAATTTGGAGGTATGTTCGTGCACAGATGGGCATACTTTTTTTGTTGCATAACTCAAATTCAAAATCTGTGAAAAGTGTCAGTTCATCATGTTCATCACATCTGACAATGGGTTTTTAAGTAAACTGTGTATTAAGGTTGATTTTGATTCGGATTGGTAAAAAAATTTTTTTCTCACATTCCTTCCCATGGACTGCTTTTCGCTTTTTAACAAATCAGTCGCACTTTGTGTGGAGGAAAGCTGTTGCTTTGTACACCCCTTGTGCAGTTGTGCTGAATATATTCTGGAAGATTTGACGCTCTGCCTGTACCTATTGGGAAAGCTGTTTCATTGTAGCAACTTGTAGCTATTTCCATGTAGCAACTCAAGGATGGCCGAATTAGAACTACATGGTGGACACAGCTTATTCTCACAGGGAATAAACTGTTTCCTACTAATGGAGTGGTCATTACCAAAACATAGTTCATTGTTCTTTAATTGTTATTTTTGTAGGATGGTTCTGTTCTATTATGGGATTTGAGGAAGCCCAAACCAGCTCGGAGACTGAGCAGGCCGGTGGGAACATCTTTACCCACATGTCTAGCATGGAAGCCAGGAGAAACACATGTTCTTGCTTCAGGTAAAAAGGGAGAAATCAATGCTGTCATTCTCTAATTTTGTGCAAATCAAGCAGCACTCCAGCGCCATCATAACAGATGAACATATATAAGACCAATTGACTTTTGCATGCCTCCTTTGCCTCAATAGAACTTTCTGGCATTGAAGGGTATCATTTACAAGCGTTTTAATGAAATAAACAATGTTGTGTATGGTCTTTACAAAGGGGATGAGACAGGCAAGATCATACTTCAGGATTCCAGAGCAGACAATACAGGAACCAGACTAACCACAGCCCACACAAGGTCCATACACAGGCTAGCATTCTCAGCCAAGAAGTAAGTACATGATCATCAGCAGGTATTTATGTCTGGTACATATCTCATAGTATCAAAAGTGGTTTCTACCCTCAAGGAGTATACTGATGTAAACTTATTAAAACATTTCAATTTGAAGTCAAATATTTGTTGAGTACAAAATAATACTATTCAGTAGAAAATAATACTCCAGTTTCTTTGGACTATTTACCCTGTACAGTCCATTATGGCTGGCGTCCACATCAGACGATTGTACGGCAGCCGTCACTGAATTGCAACCTGAACTGAAACAAATGTAAGTTCCCTCTTGTGTTAAATTTCATCTAGGAATGGAACAGAACATTTGGTAAAAATATGTTGTCTGTTGGGTCACCAAAAATGTCTCAATGTTCAAAATGATATCCAGGGTCAGTCGGGTTTACCCCTCCCCCTTCCCAAGACTTGGCCCTGGCTATATTCTTAGTTTACTTAAGTTGTTTAGCTTAAAATTTAATCATTTTCAGTTATTTCAATGCATGTGTTTTAATGTTATTTATTTTACCTATCTCTCCCAGATACCGAGGGTACAGCCACAATGACTTTGTGCGTGGTGCATCATGGGATCCCCTAAGCAACAAACTAATGACGTGCGGCTGGGATAAGCAGGTCAAGGGTCATGATATTCTACCTGGAGCAGTAGGGAGCAATGGACGTGTGTAAAGGCTTCCAAGCTATTTATTAGTAAAATAAGTTCAAAACTCTTATTATTCTGTAAATCTGTGATCATGTTTATATAAATCCTTGGCAACTTGTTAGGAATATTGTGCATTGGCAGTAACCCAGCTCCCAACTTGAACAAGCCAAAGTAGCCAGAAAATGCACTTCAAAGTTTTCAAAATTACAGGGGTAAATCAGTGCTCTATAAACAAGAAAACAAAAACGATTGCAATGTGTGATGGAATTAATACATAAAGCTAGTCACAAGACAAGACAAGACTGGTCAAGCAAGACCCAGAGCCTGTCAAATTCCATTCAATGGATTGAGAATGGCTTTTTTTTACTCGAAGTCTTTTTGCACATCTGTGTATCACTATGGGCAGGATTTTGCCCATTTATTGACACAGGGTAATCCAGCATGTTAGCACTGCCCTACTCACAAGTGACAATGAGTAAATGGCTACACTCTCTTAGACCAGCCAAATAGAAGATTCATAAGGTACATGTACCTACAATAGACTGCCATAGGTGTTCTTGTAATGCATTGTGAACTTGGCGCCCTCTGCATGTGAAGCTTGCACAATGTACATGTGAAACTACATGTAGCATATCACACAATATTCATTTTACATACTGTAATGTAAATGGAGTGTTACAATACCATCCCCTTGAAAGCAATATGATCTGTCTGAAAAGAAAAATTGGGATATAAAATTTAATCAAGCAGATTGTGCATTATCTGAATCAGTCGGATATCAAAAAGAAAATTGTGTATAAACAATTTAATTCCAAGATGTCCAAAGCTGCGAAATGTTTCACCGATTCACCACAGCGTGCACCCTTAACACACACGTCAACAGTCCGCAAATTTTCGTGAATTTGACAGCAAAGAAACTGGGCCTTGGAAAACTAAAAAAATTATGGTTTTCGGAATAGCGTTTTTGTTTCCACCAATGTGCATGTGCTGCTATTTTGCATATTAAGTCACGTTCTTTTGCAAAGGGAAATTCCAACGACGCTCTTTACGTGCGGTTTGTGACTTGGAACATGAATGCTGCTGGGTGGTACAAAGTCAGTACTATCGTTAACTACCAAGACTGGCATACATACCAAAGTTTTGAAATTCTGTTGACATCGTTTGGTAGGGAAACTTGTTGGTCGATTTTTGACCTTTCTTCAAACTTACTGTTGTCAAAAATGTCAGAAACATTCTGCTAATAAAAAAAAGATAGAGTAAGACCAAATAGAAAAGAATCTTTAAAGGGAAGATACAACATTTGCAAACATCACAAAACGAAATTATCAAAGTATCACGAAATACCTTGGTGGATTGTTAGGGAATGAGAGTCTAAAGCATCCTGTAAAATCGTGGCTCCTGGTGTGCTGCCATTTGCAAGAAAACTTGAATGTTCCTAACGATGGTCGGCCGACCAGTGTTGGAGAAAACTGGCTTTTTTCAAAAAGTGCTCCTAATTTTTCATATTTAGTTACTCCTCTTTTTCTTTGCAATTGATTACACACCTGTGAAGGGATACAAGCCTGCTAGACTGATTCTCTACCTTACAATTCCCCAACATCTATAAATTGCAAGAATATGGTTGGTTTTCTTGGATTTTCCAGTATCTACAAGCCCAAAATGTGAAGCCAGTCTGTTTAACAATATTTGCTATAACATACTAATTCTCCAAGTCCATTTGTTTCTGAAAATTGCAGCAAAAGCAAATGTTGTACATTCCCTTTAATTGAATGAATTCTTTTCTCATTGAAAGCAGATGTCAAATTTTCGAAGAATGATTTTTAGGAATTTATTTTTATGCCTATATTTGTTTGGTTTCAGCCTTAAGCCCAAACAGTAACCCCAAGACACAGTGTGTATGTACATGTACATGTTCATTCTATTGCAAGCATGAAGCTGTCCTTGCCCGAATAAAGAAACCACGAGTGGAATACTGTTCAATGTATGTCTTAATATTTACTTAATTGTATGTTCAGTTCTTTGAAATCTGTATTTTCATTTATCATGGCAAACAGACTGCCTTTTTTAACAGATTACAAAACAATGATTCAAAATTCTAGTAAGCCTGAAGACATCAAAATATTTCTTGGCTTTAATTGGTTATAGCATTCAAACGAGCAATTGGTTAATCCATGGTCTATATTCAACTTGAGCAAGCTATTCCTCGGAAGACAGGTTGAGGTAATCATGGCAACAACTTGGAAAATCCTACTCTTTTGAAATTTATTTTCATTAGTTCATAATTATTTCAAGAAAAGAAAAAAAAGGGAAGCTTTTCATTCCAACTTCATGGCAACTGTGTGAGTCATGAAATCATGTTGATCTCAATTAAATTAATCTGAGTATCAACTTAATTCACAGAATCGTTAATGCTGACCGAAGTATTACAGCTTTTTTTGTACTTAAAGGCTGTATTTTTCTATTTTGGAAGACATTCCATCTATCTTAATGTGGCAATAAGAAACTTGAAAATTAAGTCCAAAAAACAATTTACCTATAGCTATTACTCCTTTTAAAAGGAAAACTAATTCTTATTGATTTGAATACTTTAAAAACTCATGAAAATATAATGAACTCTATAAATCATTTACCTTTACTACATTCTGCAGTTAATACAATAGATATAATTACCCAAACAATACCTTGTCAATTATTGCTCCTTAATACAACAATCTAGGAGAAGATCTAGAAAGGAAATTCTTCAGCCTGACACCAGACTTATCCAGACTAACAATGATGAAAAAAAAAATACTGGAATGAGAGTTGTCATGAGAAGTTACAAAGTTAAACAATGTCCTTCAAGACAGTCATCTTTTACTTGATACTTTCATGGATGGTAGAATAAGGAACTTTGACAACCTTAAACATTGCATGTCAAGTAAATTTAAATTTACTACCGAACAACAAAAGTTGAACAATTATTTCTTTTAATAATGAAGACATGATTTCTGTCCTATTTACACTCTAATACTACATTAAAAATCAAATCCCCTACATTTCCATATTAATCCCTTCACCGTAAAGTTGAGCTTTATTCCATGAACAAAATGGTTTTCAGTAAACACAAAAGAAATCATTTAATACATCAGAATTTCATTTTGCAGAATATGGAAATTCAGCAGGCAATGAAATATTTAGTTCTTTAAAATTTCTTATCTTAAATCCAAGTTGTTGCTAGATTACCAGTAACCAATGATCCGGTTTTAAGGGAGAGTAAACCCAGATGGTTTAGGCTTGGTAGCCAAACTCCCTGGCATCGTCTTCAGTGATATCCCCATAACGCCACAGGTTCAGCTGTTACAACAAAATGAAACAAAAGATGTCATTACAACAAGTTTTTCAAAACATTTTAATGGCAGAAGGAAGTCTTTAAATCCCAAGCCCAAGCTTCTCCAAGTCTTTGGGAATTACACACTACTTCTTTACTTTGAACAATTTGAAAAGGAGTACATGGGTACAATGCAAAACTGAAGTCAATTGTAAAATGTGAGATTTCTCATTTCAAGTACAAAAACAAAGAACCATTACAACAAGTCAGAATTGGGAAATACAGCCAAAGTTTGTAGAACACACTAACCACCTTATGAACGTCAACTTACATGAGCCTTGAGAGCACTCTGCTGGGCTTGTGCATACTCGGCCACCATCTTCTGCAGACGTTTCTCACGACGTTGCTCAGCCAACAAGAAACCCTCGCTGACTAATGCCTTGCCAACGTCATCCTCAGGTTCAGGAGTGAGTAGAGTGACATACTCTGTGGTCCCCACACGGTACTCAGTGTTACACAGAAATGTGTTGTTGAGGATATTGCGTTTGACTGCCTCGAGTGCATCCTGTTTGAACTCCTCCTGCCGAATGGATACAAGACATACAAATGTGGTGGTTTGGCATACCTACTGAAAGTCAACAAGTTGAGAAGTTGTAGTTTCAAGTCTTTATTAAATATTCTTCTGAAAATTTCAAGGGATAAGAATCATATTCGGTTGTATTTGGACAGCCTCAACTACATCCTGTTTGAAGTTTTAACTCGAACAAATGAATGGTAAAAGCAGGTACAATTGCAATGGATTCCACCAAAAAAAAATCTGAAGAATAATCCAGACTTATACAGAAAGAAACTTTCTGTCTGAATTCCTGATATGGCAAATGAAAAAAAAAACCAAGTGACACTCACATCTTTAGGAAGCATAACACAAGCCAAGTAGAAGTGATGTGCTTGTGGCTGCTGTGTGTGGTAGCCTGGCGGCATGGCACCGATATTAGCAGCTGTTACAACATCCGACTGGGAGAGAAAAACAAGACAAAATCCTCTCCAAATTTGAAGTGAAGTCTAGGTAATTGACTTAATGTTTCAGCTTTCATGGTAACTATTTTCATGTGCGCCAAGTCACAATATCTGTGCTGCACACAGGTGGTTCAACGATGTGGCTCCTAGACCAACTTGGGGGTGATTTGAAGGATTTACTTCACAAGCTCTTGAAATACAACAAGCATGAGGTGCTTGCAACAATTTCAATGAAGAGCAAATCCAACTGAAAAAATTACATCACCTCCAAACAAGAATTCAACTACTAAAATGCATATTAACTATAGCAAGCACCATCTTCTCGTATATACATGTATTGTCCAAGAGGTTTAATTCACGAGTTACATTTTGTATACATAAATTACGTTGCTTACAAACATTATACAACAATATAAAACCGTCCAAGAAAAAAACTAAACTGCTATAGGTGCTTAAACTAATGAACCAGCTACTCACATTTCCATAATCCAAGAAAAACACCAAGATCTTGTCCTTGTTGTACACTTTTTGTACTCTGGCTCTGTACCACTCTCCGTCAACAAACTTGGCAACGCAGACGTCTCCTTTCTTAGGAGTGAAAGCCCCCGGGAGGGGAGGTGCTGCTGCAATCTCAGCGCGTAGTTGCTCCATAAACTTCTCAAACTGCTTGCCTGGAATAATACAAACCGAATTTTACGTCAAATCTGAAATCCTTTCAGATGTTCTTTAAAATCCCCTGCTGAAACGTTAAAGGCTCTTGGAGAAAGAAAAAAAGTTTGTTCCCTCTGAAACATAAACAGGGAGAAATGGCCTGTTGAGCACGTAGGATTACACAGGATTATATCTAAACTTCAAAAATCTGAAAGTTACTGTCTATTAATCCTAACCTCCTTAAGTTTACTTTGGGGTAAAGTACCACATACTTCATAGTATTACAGATATTATGTATGCAGTACCCAAATGCATATTAAAACATGCTATGAGTGTTTATCTGCTGAAGTACTGCATACTACAGTTTACTACTAGTACAGAGCAAGAAAAAAACCGATACCCAAACCTCAAAAAATGTATTTCATATTTGAAAATAATAATGACTGGAAAGCCAATTTCATAAACTACTTTTTGGTGAAAAAAAATACATAAATTGCTCAATCCGTTCACAGTATATCACCACTTAAACACAATGACCCTAAAACCGCTTTCGTCCAAAAATGTGATTTCAAGAATCATCGTCCAATTCTCTTCAAACATCACCAGTGATAAAACCTCAGTTTAAAACTTAAAAATCCTTTTGAAGGCCTGTCTTTTGAAAAAAAGTTGATTGTATAAATCATATTGTTTGCCTTAGCAGGGTTGTTAATAAACATATTGTGTACTGCAGTTGTTGAAACAAGTATTCTGTGTCATTTTCTTTGTTGTTCCAAACAGTCAGAACACACAATAAATTGGGGGGGGGGGGCATTTGGACGAAACAGGTATTTGGGTCATTCTGTTAAAATGGTGATATTCTTTGAATGGATTGAGCAATTTCAGTAATTTTTTCTTCTAAAAGTAGTTTCTGAAATTGGCTTTCCAGTCATTATTTTTGGTGCTGCATATTTTTTCAAATATGAAACATATTTTGGGGGGTTTGGGTTCAGCTTTTTTGACTCACCCAGTATTTTGTAGCTTAAGTTGAGGTTAGGGTTAAAGTCCAGTATGACTTTTAGCAAGAACAAATTAGGAAACAAGTTGAATAGTATTTGATTTCTGATGAGGTTGTAAGCTAACAACTTACCTGACTCAACAAGTTGGGCATAGAAATCCAGTTCATTGCCAGTCTCAGTCACCACAATGAGTTTATAGTTCGTCTTGCGTTCTGCAGTCTCCTCAACAACTACCAGTGTCTTCGGCTCTTCAAACTTCTCCCAAACCTGTCCAAATTGTGATTGACATGGAATCAGATATCAACAGAGGGCAGCAACTCTATATTTGCATATCTTGTTGTTTGCAAACAAATATTGACTTTTGTGCACATTGATCAACAAGCTCACTTTCAAAATGTTCTCAATTTGCCCTTGTGAAGAGATGTCGCAACACTTTCAACAACGCTTGCCTACAGCCAACTCACCAAATTGATTAATTTGAACACATATAAATGATTTAACTATGATATACAATTAGTGTCAATGAATTTTGAGATAGTAGCACAGTATGTGTAAACCATTGTTAGCACGTACAGTCTGACCTTCACACGTACACCTACAGAATTGCAATTGTAAGTGTCCTCATTCGGCACCAGTTCACAGAGGACCTCAACAACAGACTCAACAGTTATTCCAAGGATTCGTTCAACCAAACCCACCTTGAGTTTAGCTTCCTTAGCCTTCTCTTCAGCCGCTTGAATGGCACGTGCATAGCTGCTTCGTTCAGCAGTAAAATGCATCTTGGACAGGCCTTGTTCAACGAGAGCAACAGAGAGATTGACACCCTCCACAAACAGCCAGCCAATAAAATTGCCAGCTTTGTCGATGGACTCAACTTCCACTTCAACCTGTAGAATAAGTACATGTACATAAAGTCTTGAACATTAAAGGTAAGGAATTACATTAGAATTGAATAGAATTGGGATGAAGGTTTCCAGTAATACCTCTCTCTGTAGAACCAATTCTTTGGTATACTGCAAAGCTTCTTCAGAGTATGGTTCTGATTCAGTTGGCCCACCGGGTCCAGTCCGAGCCATCTTGGGACATGTTATCCCTGCAACCAAAATTGACATGAACAAGTGCTGAATTATAGGATCCTTGACAACCGTTTATTAGCATCTTACCTAGCAGGCTACTGTTTATTTCGAACCCTGGGTAAGCTCTCAAAAACAACTGCAGTAAAAATATCACAAAGTCACAAAGAACAGCACTGAACTCAGAGCTCTCACCATCTTAACAAAAAAAATCAATCTAAATATGACTCACCAGCTAAGAGGAATGTAATCAGACAGGTTTCTTTAGGAAGGAACAGACGGACTCGAGATCCACTGGCCACAAATTCCACAATAGCGTTGCTGCGTCCAGCACGTTGCAGGAACGGAAGGAATTGCTTGGCCTTCTGTGGCTCCTGCAAGTATATAAATATTGACGATAAAGATTCAAGGGGATCATTCTGAAGTTGCCTACTCCAAGCCAAAAGGTCTGACAAGATGCACCTACACTTGTTCCCATAGCCTAGATGTACAGCGTGACGAGGTGGTGCACAGCGTGACGAGGCAGTAATGTTGATGTGGCAGTAATGTTGATGTGGCAGTACTTTCCTCACAATTAAATTACAGTCGGCTCCAGTAAGTACGAAAACGGTTAGGATGAAATTCTGGTTATTACAAACACATATCTTCCGTCCCGCAAAATTGTGCACATTTCTATGGGGATAAATTCGCTTAAGACGAAATCGGACAGTACAAAATTTCTATAAAAATGAAAGGTTTTGGTGACCCCCTTGTGTAAAAAGCATTGTTAGCGACCCATTTATTTAAAAAAACAAAAAAAATGTAACCACAAAAGCTTTACTTCACAGCTTTTTTTTTCTTTCAGACCTAATCTGAAAGCAACATAATTATGGTCATCAATGGGTTTAAATCAGTACTGTCTTAGTGGTACATCCACTAATCAGGCCCTGTGGTTACTAACAAAGGCCTGTGAAATCGTGCTGATGATACCATGATACAATGACACCCAGACAGCAACAGAAGAAACCACAAGCCAGGAATAATCACCAAGTATGTGACATCTGTACCCAAGCTGACATGGACAACGAGACCTACGTGGACACGCTGCTAGGACAAATTTGTCCGACGCAGCTTTCAATGAATTAAGCCAACCCAACAAATTCAAATGGCCTTTTTTTCAATTAAAAAATATAGATTGCCATATTGGCAAATAAATATAAAGAATGAAAACACACCAGATCAACAATTTTCCACCAACCCTTTGTTACCCCAAACGATTCCCGCGCCATCAAAAAAAGTCTAAAAGTTACGTTCATATCCCCTGTTTGTTACCTGATTGAACTGAATCCTAACTTAGAAACATGAACTCCCAAACGTAACCTAACTATCATTTTAGCCCATACCACAAAAACAATTCTTGCAAGATCTTGTGAATTCATAATCAAAACATGAATTTGTGATTCTGATGCAAACCAAACCTGCTGCATCACAGTGCACGCTGCACCCCCACCTAAACAGATGAAATGCATTGGGCAGTAATGACTCTGAAAAAAACTTTTGCTTTTTACGCTTTCTTGTGACTGTTGGGATGTGGTTTCTTATGGACTGGCCAAACAAAACTTTTGAGATAAACAGAGGTACCTGTGGAGGCATTTCGAGTTACGGGGGTATTCATGAACCCAGTATCTTATTCTCTTGACAGGGAAGAAATGTTACTTTGAGGTAAACAGAGTCTCAAGTTATCCAAATGCGAGTTAAAAAGAGTTTACTGCACTCCCTTGCATTATTGACTAATCCTAGTTTGCTGTCACTGCACACTCATGCAGGACCCCTTCAATTGCGAAAGCCATTGTTTGGACATTACATCACAGGGCAGTCGTGTTGCAGTTTGCACAATAGCTGGCCCTACTCCTCTGCCATCGAAGGGGGCCTCTGTGAATGTACAATGATAGTGTGTTTGGATTGGTCTGTATTGACATTTTCTTTCACCTTTTCTCATAGGTTTTTGGACTGCTCTGTAGTACATTGATATCATTAACTTTCAAGTCTCCTTGACTTATTACCAAGAGTAACAAAAACATAATCTGATGATTCAAGTATTTGAAAGTTGCATCTTACCCCTGATGTGTCTGCGATTCTGTGGATGGGATACTCCTTCTTACTGTGGATGCCTTTACTATTCTTGATTGCCCGTGTCTCAGCAGTCAGGAGGGCATCATAGTGCGCTGATCGTTGGTCATCATCCTGACGATAACGAATCACACTACAAAGCCCCTTACTTACAAGGGCTTCAGCTACATTGCTATTGAAACAAATCCATGAAACAGAAATGTTAGATACATCTATGAAAGTGCAATCCTATTTGAGACACAATTCACATTTTGTTAGATTTGGATCTAGGTCTTTATTGTGTATTCATAAATATCTAAGACATCATACCAATACCTATTGGTCGAGAGCCCGTCACGTGGGTGGTTTTAAATGGTTGATAAAACACTAGCTTTGAATGCAAGGCTGCCCCGTATCAGCAACATGAGATTATCACTGGCCACGCAGAGTATTACCTGCTCTGCAATACCACGGTATATACCCAATCCATCACAGCACAAAGCCTACGTACATACGTACGTACGTACGTACACACGTACGCATGTACACCCTAGAGTAATATTGTATGCGCACATGTACCGCCCTTTAGTGCGAGTCCAGCTCATGCTCCATAGGAACACAGCCTTGATGATTCTGTCACTTCCAGGTTTTGTTTTGCTTTACTTTGTATCGCGAATCCCTGGTAAATGAGGGGGGGGGGGGGTTGAGAGGATATGTTGGTTTGGTAACCCAATACCGGCACATGCTCGAAGCGACCCACAGCATGTTTCAAAACAGTGTTATGCGTCCAATCAAGGGCCAATCAGATCCGCTCGATCGTAAGCAGCTCATTCTAGTTATAACTGCAAAACCCGGAAGTTACAGTTAAATCAAGGCTGTGGCCCTGTCAGACCACAGGCAGTATGTACATGTACTGTGTGCATGCACTGTGTGCCGGGTATAATAAAATGTAGTATGATGTGACGGATCAGGGTTCGCCGTGTGTGTGGACCTGTGAGCCCGGTATAATACATGGCCATCGATGCCCGCACACTGATCATGCACACAGACTTGTATTCAAGGCTAAAAAAACACTGACTGGTTTTCAACACTTTTTTCTGGTTTTGTACCACATCGAGCAGTACGCGCCACGCACACATCAATTTCCATATAAGGAGATTTTTAGTACTACTCACGAAAGGCACATACCATAAAGATTGCTAGAGAGGTGTTTCACAAAACATGAATTAGACATGTTGAAAAAAATGGTTGGAAATATATCATTTTTGTGCAAACCCAATTAACCCAACAGCTTGGGGTCGGTTCAAGGGAATATACAACATTTGCTTTTGCTGTTATTTTCAGAAATGGATGGATTTAGGGGGTTAGTACTTTATAGCCAATATTGTCACACAGACTTGTTTTAAGTTTGGTTCTCATAGATGCTGGAAAAACCAAGAAAAATCAAACATGTTTCTGTAGTCTGGTTCCCTGACCCCATTTTTAATTAAACAGAGCACTTTATAAACATCGGGAAATTGTACAGTCAGGGAACCAGCCTAGCTGGCTTGTACCCACTCATAGGTGTGTAATCGATTGCAAACAAAATGAGGACTGACTAAATATGGTAGATTGGGGGCAGTATTTGAAAAAGCCAGTTTTTTCCGACGCTTGTCGGCCAACCAGCGTTTGAAATTGATACAAATATGATAGCACACTAGGTGCCATGATTTTACAGGATGTTTTAAACTGTCATTCACTAAAAGTCCAGTCAGGTATTTCATAATAATTTGGTAGTTTTGTTTTTTGGTGTTTGCAAATGTTGTAGAGTCCCTTTAAGCCATCTTGTGAAAAACCAAAAATAAACAATAAACCAAAAGATTTGTTGAAAAATGGCCAACCACATATTAATTCCCTTATGAAAAGTAGAGTCAAGCTTACATTCCGCCAATAGTGACCGTCACACATGTCTTCTCTGGATATCCTTCATTGGCAGGCTTGATGTAATCCACAGAAACGTTGACTTTTTTGCCTATCAGCTTCTTACGCAAGAACTCTCGAGCTTCAAACATGTAGGGCACATCATATAGAGGGCGCACTCGTCTCTCAGGCTGGGGTAATGGAAATGGTATGATTTTAATAAGAAGAGCTTTCATTGATAACTTTATGATTAGTCGTACTTACAAATTTGCTTGCCTGATAGGAAGTCATGTCCACATTCAGTTCACAATGTATACGTAATTAAGTCCTTACAGTCATGAAGTTACGTAAGTTACCTCGATTATACGAATTTTTTTTAAAAGTTAGGTTCCCATGAAAGCATTTATATAGAAATCAGCCTTAAATTTCCCACAATGTTTTGTATATACAGTTTTTCAATATAACTGAAAAATACAATTTGCAGTGTGTGGATCTAAACCCTCAGGAAGCACCCAGTCTCCTCAAGTTGACATTAAGATGTTTATGTCTTACCTTGGCCGGTTCATCGTCTTTTCCATTCTCCTTGCTATCTTTTGCCTGTTGTGTCAGTCTTGGTGGTCGAATACTGGACAGAGTCACCTTGCGATACTCCCCAGAAGTAGTTTTCAAGAGCAGCGCATCAGCATTGATAACCTCTACAACCTAAACAAATTGGACAAGATGGGTAGAAGCAAATTAGAAATAATTCCTTTATAAATACAATAATAAACTTTTCTGCAGTTTGTTTTCGACTGAAAGTGCTGACTCTATAACAAGTTCACATTTGGGTATCAGTGCATACCAATGGAGCCTAGAGTTACCCAAACAATGAGGCACCAAGGACACCTTAGCTCCCGGTACCTCAAGCATTATCTAGTCAACAGAGCGAGTTGGAACGTGTCCGAAAGTAAAGAACACGTCTCACAGAACTGTACATGATATTGTCTACGAGTAACATTTAACAAGGATTTGCACACAATATAAGTGACAGCCAAGTGTTTGCAGTCCAGCATTCAAGGTACAGTCAAATCTCAATAAGTCAAATCTCAAGGGAATGGATATAAAATTTGAGATATCCGAAGTTTGAGTTAAGCAAATTTCCAAATTTTTCTAGGATCATGTACATATGCATGCACATGAATGGCTTTCACTGTAACTCGCTATGCCTGGCTAAGAAATGGACACGTTATTTGGCTCACCTCCTTCTTTTTATGATTTCAATGATGTACTCTTTTTCAATCACAATTCATCATTTTGCTCAGATTTTATATTTTTCTTACCTAACAGTGTCTGTTCTATGGATATATATAACAATAATCCACTGAAATTGTGAAACTTTGTGTAGAAAATCGTTATTTCATGTCGTTTGTCTATGTCTAGTCTAGCGATCACACGATGCATCGAGTGCACCATGCTCGGGGTTTTCCAATGTGCAGTCACATAACCGGTCCTATTTGATCGATAGAGGGCGTCCAAGCTGCACTAGCTAGGTCAGCGGTAACGATCATGCTAACTTGAAGGCCAGGCGCGCTTTTCTAATGCGGTCACATGGCCCTTCGCAAAGAGCCAGCAATTGGACCAGCCGGCGTGCTGGCTACAATTGGCCAACGGTAGCGATCTGCCTAACTGGAAAGCCGGGATTTGTTGCGTTACGACCTTGAGTCCCATCACAATGGCATCGTGTACGCTGCATCCCCACACGAAAAGACAAAGTGCGTGCAGCAATAATGACTCATGAAAACAGTTTCGCAATTTTTTTACGCTTCTTTTACTGTTTAGGCTGCGATTTCTCATGGACTAGCCAAACAAAAGTTCAAGTTAAACGGAGGTACTGGTACGGGTATTTCGAGTTACGGGGGTATTCATGTACATATCTTATTTTCTTAACGGGAATGAAGTATCACTTCGAGATAAACAGAGTTTTGAGTTGTCTAAGTTTGAGTTATGGCAATTACACTGTACAAGACTCTTACCTTTCCAGTGTAAGTCTTCTCCTCCGCATTTATTGGCACAGCGTTGGATTTGTAGTCCTTCCAAATACGAAGCTGTTTTTCCTTGGCTTTCCTGATGATTAAAAGAAGAGCCACAGATGCTTGTCACAAATACGTGTTGGTAATAATTGATAAGTTAGCAATGTGACAATTATATCTACCACAATGCCACACCCAAATCAAGCACTTAAATTTACATACAGGATTCTCAACGTTATGGAAGTTAATGCCAATCTGACCAAAACTATGTCTTGACAATTATAAGATACACTTTGCTACAAATTTTGTAAAGATAATTTTTACTTTTCTGCAGCCCGTAGATTTTCAGCTCCATGTGTTACAGTAGCAATGCTCCAATCCACACAGCGAGCCAGACCCTCAGCCAGGAGAAATTCAGCAATGTTTCCTTTCTGTTGACACAAGTACAACAAATATTTACTTTATAAGAGGACATCAGATCACTGACCCAACAGATCAATGACTCTGCAGAATGCTTGAGTTTGACATTCTTTGTTTATACTTAACATACAACAAAACTGATTAACAACAAAGATACAAGTCAGGTATTTACTGGGTGTATGACAGAGCCAAGGTAATTCTGGTTAGACACTCCCTCCAGGATGATCTTGACATCACGCTGAAGTAGACGAGATTCAGTGAAGTATTTGGCCTCACTGGCAAAAGGCTCAGCAACTTCGGAGTCTCCATCTCTGCGGAACATTGGGCACTGAAAGAAAAATATAAACCAAGACTATTCTACAAATGTGGCCAAGGGTTTAAAATGTTAGCTAAGAATTTAAAGAGGAGGCCCCAATTTTTAATTTTTTTATTTTGGAATCTCGGAATTCTGTTTGTCTTTTCTAACTGCCTTTTTAGCTCATATGCAGATAACGATGTCTCTCCAATCATTTTTGTACAAACCATTGTTTGACTACTACAGAAATCAAATCACTTTTTAAAGAAAGTGAGCCAAGCCGACTCCTCTGGGAATTGGAAGCCCTCTAGTGGCATAAACACAACCAGCTTATTCTGCTCTGTGTGTACACCTCGCACAGCCTGTAATGTTGTGCAAACTCGACCCGAAACCAAAACTGACCCGACCAGAAACCAACTTCGGGTCAATTCTCTCCATCATTTCAGTCAGGTCGGTTTTGGTTTTGCGTTTCCGGTTTTTGGGTCGGGTCAGGTCGGGTCAGTAAACCGTAATAAACCCAAAAAATGAAACAGTACGGAAATTCATGCAATAATATTGCAGAGTTACTGTGGCAGGTACGACCAATGTCAATCCACCACTCAAATGTGCATGTGGTCTGCGGTCTATCACACACAGTCTATAACGTGTAGGCCCCAACAGTTTAGATAAAGTTATGAGTCTTCACCATATGGTATGATTCTTTACTGAGAGATGATTTGATTTCATTTGACATGGGTAAGTTCAGGCACAAAAAGCGTACACAGTTGTCCAAGCCAGATATTTGGGTTTTTGCAGGTCGCTTTGGTTTCAGGTAGGTCGGGTCGGTTTTTGCTTGATTTTCGTTGGGTCGGGTTTGGGGAGTTCAGATCGGTTTCTGTTCGGATTCCGTTTATATCTATAATGTTTCCGGTAGGTTTGACCTGGCCAACCCGACCCGATGCACAACATTAACAGCCTTGTGTCTTTTACTGGCAGTACAGACGGGGTATCACACACGAGTCACCATTTTCTATTAAAATGCAGACTATGTACCTTTACTCCTGACAGCATGACTGTGACATGATGGAATGATGGAATCAGAAAAGCACGGACGGTGCAGCCATCACGCACATGTTCAATCACAGCTATAAAGGCAAAGACAATTTTTTTTTAATTCATGATGACATCTTTCCTTGCACGTCTTTTTTTACCATTTTATCACCTGTACTACATTGTATTACATTGTCTTTATTCAATTATAAATTCATAAAACCATGGAGTTCTCAGGCGGTGCTGCAGAGAGTAATAATGACTTTTAAAGGATTAAGATATTTTTCTCAAACCTGTCTTGTTTGAATTGTCCTTTTTTTGAGAGCAAAAAGATTTCACCAACAAAAATACCTCAATTTGGATTGATTTCAGACTTGACCCTCATTTCACGGAACCATGTTCCAGAAGATAATTTTTTTCTTGATTTATTATCAATCACCATGATCACAACAAGGGTGGACAGCAGAACAAAAAATGTCTTCAATAATGTGTTTTTCCCAAGCGGTTCACGGCTTGGAGCTAATATGTAATAGAATCCAACATGAATACAAAATCTCACCGTCTTGTTCCTTTCCATGAAGACTGTCAACGAAATTCCTGGGGTTTTCAATTACCCACTTGACATCCCGCACCCCAGCACCTGAGGAGCTACCCGCCCATTTGCCCTTCTTGGCTGCTTTAGCTGTATCCTCCAAAAGGTTCAGCTGGTTCTGATCACTTTAAGACAACGAAGAAGGGGGAAATTGAATTTGGTTTAACTTTCAAAGTCTGAATATGACATTCATTCCTTGAGTTGTCAATCAAACTCCAGTTCATTCTTTGGCAAAATGTATAGCTATTCTCTAGTTTTCTGGAATCTCCTGAGAATCTTGGCAACACTTTATGTTTGGCGATGGCAACACTTTTTGTTTGGCGAGTAGGTTTTTGCAGTCACCAATGCACCATTTTCAACTCGGTGCTTTCGGAGTTGAATCTGAACTGAGTAAATTATAGCATATTTGTGGTCAAACTTTTGCATCAATCATACAGCATAATTCCTGTGCTGAAAACATATATGTGTACCGTAAAGTTAATCTTATTTCTTACCCTTCAAATCTTATCAATTCATTACATTCTACATGTGGGAAGGAATCAATTAGGATTAATGCGCCAGGCCCACAAACTGTTACGATTTGTTACAATTATAACAGGGCAACTCCTACAGTTAAGCAATATGACAGGTTCAACTTACTCGCTTGGTTTGATGCCACCCCGCCTGACTTCTACTAAACCCTCTGCAACAATGGACTCGGTCACATTCTCAGAAACTTGGTCTGTGATAAGAAGGGACAATATATTGTCATAGAAAACGCAGAAACAAATATCCCAAAGATTACAAAAGAGATTCAGCTGAATTCAGTACTTTTACACATCCATATTTAAGATTTCAGTCATTCTTTGCAAATCTGTATTCCTTGCCCTCATAGCCAATAACAACTCTATTAGCATAGTGTTTAAATTCAAGTGGCATCCACCATCACCAGTGATACACCAATGGTGCAGTGACGCTTAGAAAATATCCAAAAAATACAGAAATCCTTCTCTGTTGACAAGGCCAAATAAAAAAATTAAAAAAACATGTTTAGCATCCTGAAAGGAAGGAGGAACCCCCTTTCATTTTCTTCAAAAACGACCGGCCAGGCTATTTTTCAAGATGGCCGCCAGCTTTTTTTTTTAAATGGCCGCCACTTGGACTCAGAAAATGACATACCAGCTTTATATGAGTTAGATGTAGCAGAGAAAGAGGCCAAAATGATGTCACTGTTTAAAATTTATAATTTTTTCGGGTTTTTCTTTTCCCAAAAAAACCAACAACAACTGTTTTAGCCTCTGAAGAAGAACTTGCTAACTTCGCAACGTCAGGCCACATTAATTTTTAGAAAAACAAAAAGAGACGCTTAACATGTTTGTTTTATTATTTTTGACATTCAGATTTTAGACTATCCATTTATATAAGGGCTATTCCATACATTTGGACGTACATGTCAGGCACTTTAATGAGCTATTGTTGAAAAAGTGAATGTGATACATAGCTAATAATGTGTCATCAAATGAGTAGAAAACAATTACAGACCAAACTATTAGTACACCACCACCTTAATGACCTCGTACATGTACATCATGTGGACGGACATACGTTGGATTTTATGGTTTTGCCGATAGCTCACCTTTCCCTGAAGGCAGATAAATGCAGCCATATGCGCGTCCACTCCCCGGTGCAGTGTACTCAACAGTAAAATTGACCTCTTTTCCAACGAGTTTCTTCCGCAGATATTCACGGGCCTCCCATGCATAAGGCTACAGTTTAAAAAAAAAAACAACATCAACTGACTTATTTCAAACCTTAAACTTAAACACCTTCTGAGTTGCATGTCTTGTTTCAATTAATATCAAATAGTCCACAACAAAGTTCTCTTGAGCATCTACTTGAATAGAATTGCCCGAAATATTGGTTGAACCTGGAAGTCACAATAATACAGTGATCTACATGCATGTACCAATTATTCTTTTCAACCTTATGTTTGCCGTCAAATTTGTCAATCTCCTATAATGTGTCCAAAGTAAAATAAGTTTTAAATCGGAACCTACCTCATCTTTGGTTTCCACTGAGTTCTCAATGTTTGGATTGGCTTTTCTTGCCAACTTGGGGGCAGTCACATTGGACAAGCATATTTGTCTTTCTGGAGGAGGCCCTCCTTTTGGTTGGCCTCGTATGATAACAGCATCGCCAGACAGAACCTGAAAGACAGTGCAAGGATTAAACGTCAAATCAATCCCTCATAATACTTTAAAACCTTCATGGCCCTAAATTTTCTTAAGTCCAACATTAGGTTTTCCAGTATTTTGAATGACACAGGACTGCACAACTCAGTCAACATTAACCCTAGCTTTCCCCAAACCTCCAAAATCCTCCTGGCAAAATAACGGTTTTGCAGGATTGAGGCTATATGGCAAAAATGTGTGGCTGATTTAGGAGGATGCACTGTGTCAAGGTATTGGGCCGGACCTTGTGTTGTTTATGCTCAGCCGTGTATAAATCTAGGCCTATATTATACTAGAAATCCTCCGCACTGCTCCAGGATGTCACTAGCTCTGCTTCAACATATTGATAGTGATTGATGGAGGATTTTGCAGGATTGAGGCAGTGGTCACCCCTCTGAAGACCACATTCAAGAAATAACGGCGGACTTTGAAGGATTGAGGCTGTATGAAATTTTTATACGGAGCCAGTTGTAGGATTTTTCAGGATTGAGGTTATACATCCTAGAAAAAATGCCTGTTAGAGCAGACTTATGGCCCTTGTTTTTACTAAAACAGACAAAAAATTACTGCTTAGGCCAAAAAAAATATATTTCTGCTTACGATTACATGGCATTTGAAAATAGGGTAGGTAGGGAATTTTCTTTGTTCGCAATTTTTTTTCGTAGTCAAGGGTGAAAGGCATAGGCGTCGCCAGGATTTTTCCCGGGGGGGGGGGGCCTAAGCAAATTTTCCCCCAAAATTTCTTAACTTTTTCATTAATATATTCTCAATTTATCATTTTTCCGAGCATGAGCAGGGGAGCATTTGTACTACCCCCCCCCCCCTCCCCCACATCAAATAAACAGCAATACGGCTTTTTTTTGTTGGTTTTTTCCTCTTAAGAAATCTTAAGAATTTGATTGGGGGTACAAGTGAAAATGGTCAAAAAAAAATTTGGTAAACGAGATATGGCTATCATTCTCCACTATCGCCCTACTCTTCTATCGCACTAACATGTCCAAATGTTAAAAAAGTGATTCGTAGAGTCCTAGTTACTTGGACCATGGAGGAATAACACACTTTCAAAAAAGAATAACACACTTTCCCAAAACAAAAAAATTTAAAAAACATTTGGCAAGAGAAAATCGAGGCAGAGGTGATGAAAACCTAAAAATCAATTTCGATTTGCCTAAAATCAAGTTTACAGTTTAATTAATTAGAAATTAAATCACCAAAGCTGGATTAGAAATTGTGAATGTGCGTTTTAGTTATTGGACTGAATTATTTTCATGATGTAACTGTACGTGTCACTGCAATAAGAAATAAGTGTATGCCATCAATCTTTAACCATCCTCCAAAAATGCACTTTTTCCAACCCCGACGTACATACGCATTTTTGTATTAACACAAACATATGGAAGATTTTAGACGGCCATTTGTGTACGTGTACACGTACGTCATACGTGTGTCATGACTGTAGTGTACACGAACGTGCGTGCACGTACAAGTCGTACTTCTGGACCAGAAATTCAACGCCGTTTTACTCAATTTCAAAATTGATTGAAAATCACAGAGACTATTTCAAACGAAAGATACGATCTTTGTCTATCTATGTCAACTTTCAAAACAAGATTTCCGTACCTGTTTGACGATTCCTCGCATCAAATTCTGAGGCGGTTGTGTAGCAGCCATTGCGAGCAACGTGCAAGTTTTGAGGGGAAAGGCTTTGTCACGTGATTTAAAGGTCAACGTGTACAAAATTGCAGTCAAAGTTCATGTAGACTCGATAACAGACGTGTTAAATCAGGGTACGCATGGCGCCACCAACATATCTTGGGGCAAATCATAAATCAGATAGTCATATATTTATTGTCTACCGCATCTTTCTAAAAGCTTTTGGTCCCTTAAAGTGGTACACATTACTTGAAAAAACAATGTCGCAAACTTCCGATCATCCTACAAAAAATACGATCCCTATATAATGCCAGGGTACTTTGGTACTGTGTTAAAAACTTGAATAATACTTAATAGATCAGCAACCAAACGAAATCATTGTACATGTACATCGTCCTGGTTGAATGACATTGGCTTTCAGGGCACAAACTAATATATGGCCGGGAAACAAGCTTGATCAGGCGTGATGTGCGTATGTGCGTACTTACGAAAGTGTTTTGTTTCGTAGAGATGTTCTTTATTAATTATACAGCTCTATGTTTTGTTGATTTAATCACAGCATAGTAACTTTTAATGTTGCTAATAGTAATACACTGTACAAACAATACTTTACTATACTAGTTTCGTAAACCTTTACTTGACCCGTGTCTAATTCATACCGCCACATATGGTTGTGTGATGCCATCCCGAAGATTGCTATTTTTGTGCATGCACTTATTGATACAACATCTCATCGATATTAATTGTTTTCACAGAGTGATCCAGTTAATATGCGGAACCGTGACCACGGAGGACCCTCCATCATGGGCGTCGCGAGGGGGGGGGGGGGGCAAGGGGGGCGCTTCCCCCCCCCCCCCCCCCCCCCCCGGAAAAGCCACACACAAAAAAGAGAGAGAAAAAAGAAACAGAGACGCGAAGTCATAGTGGTGTAAATTTAATGATGGGGGGGGGCAAAATGAGTCACTGCCCCCCCCCCCTCTAAAACTGAGAAATCGAGAATATGTTGAGAAATACAGGGTTTTTTTGGGGGGGGGGATGTGTTTGCCCCCTCTAGAAAAAATCCTGGCGACGCCCATGCCCTCCATGGTTTGGTCATAGAAGTGCCAAGGCGCCCTGGCAGGGCGCATGATTACATCATCTTATTGGAAAATGTCCCGCATGGCTGGGTCGTCACGGTGGGGTTTGGGGTTCAATTGAACTGAGTTTTATGGATGTCATTGTATGTAAAAGCTCTAAAAGTTAGTAATGCAACACGATGACAATACCAGTCTAGTCTACTATGAATAGGTGTGGTGATCACGCTCTTAGTCACCACCGCGTGCTTACGTACAGGAACTATTCTATTTACCAACTGACTAAAAAATATTCCTCCACTTTACGTTACTCGTAATATGAAGGAAGTACTGTACATACAATGTACATGTACGCCTGGAGCTTGCATGCCATGTTGAATAGAGTACGAGAGTTGGGTTGGTGCACGGTGTTGGCGTGTTGGTCTTAGAAACCTCATTAAACCATACATTCCTTCTTGATACGAGAGGGCACCTCTCAACCTCGACGGTCTGCATTCCGTGGGGTTGTTTGTTTATCCAAATAGCGCAGAAATATTTCAGTCAGTGGGATTGCGGTGTCTCCCCGCACAAAAGGTCGCGATTTTACGGACTGCTTGACAGAGCGATAATATCGTGGGACGAGACTGCGTGTGTGCATAAACTCTGCGTATATAAATAATACAGTTGATATACCAGCAATATTGCCGGTGCACTGTTAAACCTTGAACGCAATTGAACGGAATAATGTATTGAGTTCAAATGACATGAACTACATCTGATGTTTTTCTTCGACCGCCTCCTCCATCGTGCTATGGTGTAGATGTACATGTGGAGAGACCCGTGGTCGTGCTCTAGTGGAACACGTGGTGAGTCATCGGCGGATTGGGGTGAACTTTACTCTGAGCTCTATAGCCTGCAGATTACCACCACTCATAAAGGTGAGTCTTCCTATTTGTTCATTTCTCTGTGAAATACTTTAGCTTACATTGGAACTGGTTGGACAGCATAGCTATATAGCTGAACATTGATGATGTACATATACTACTTGATTTCACTTGGTCTTTCTGTCAATATTATGTCTGGTCGGAGTCATGGTACTAGGATGTCCTACTATAATAGCTGATTTCGCTCTATGAAATTTCTACGAACAATCATGAACACATTGTCTTTTAAAGACAATGTACATGTATTTGTTTGATATTTCTGCATCGATCAGTCACCATTGTATAATAATTGGGTCAATACTAAGATTTCAGTACATAATGAAAGTGCTCCCTGTTATCAAAATGCAGGTCATTTTGATTCTCAACTATAGGGGCCGAAGGAATTTTATTGTTTTCCGGTCGATCTGACCATGGAGGAACTTGTTCCTCCATGATCTGACTATTTGACCTCTGCATGGAAATGAATTCATCTAACTTTTCCTCTACATGAGGACATGAATCTAGTACAACTGATAAAGATTGGTTCCCCCAGCATTCTTCGGGTGAATTATGTTAAATTCGTCTGTCGCTATCCCCAATTTGTTGAATTTTGATTTGCTATCTCCGGTAGATAGCACGGAACTATCGTTTGAATAGATATGTATAAACTATTAACATAAGTGCAACAGTGTTTATAGGAAATAATCCAAACGTTCATTTTGTCATGATTTCATCTTTTATTTCAGCGGTGACAAACTTTCTTGTGACGGTGTGAAGCAAGTGCATATTTGGCGAGATTTCCTGACAACTTGGGATGGGAGTTGGGAATAATTTTGACTAGGTGAGAGGTGCGACACGAGACCGACCTATCGCGCCGCAAGCAGTCGCTACACACAACTCAGCGTGGATGGAGACGGTCTGTCGAACCGAAGGAATTTCCCGTCAGGAGGGATCAAAGTTGACGACTTGTGTGTGACTAGACTGTATAACTTCACCGTTTTTACCGAAGGAGGTCAAGGGTAGGGCTAAAGCTTTTTGTGGATATACTCCCAAGGGCGGAAATCTTACCGGGAATAATACAAGCATTCAGAAGTGTTCTATGCCCAGTCCCTCCATTTACTTGCGGTATCACAGACAGTGGAATTTAGGTTCAGGGTTATGAGACTTTTCCGTTTACAGTGACACCGTATAGACTCCATGGTTAAGTGCTTTAAAATGCTTGTCATTTGACAAAGAGTGATTGAACGTAAATGGATTTTTTGTTTGGATGTTAGACGACGGCGTGCGTACTGCGATACAAGGTCAGGAGGTGACATTACACCCTGGAGTTTTACATCTGATGCTCGTGGAACGAATGGTATGCATCACACCCGACTGATCTAATTTTAAAGTCCCGAGCACTAGTGCTAGCGCATAATAGTGGTACTGAGGTCTATACGTAGTTTATATCGAACATGAATGTTGTTAGAGTCGCTGATCCGGCAGCCATGGCGGCGACGGCAGGGACGTGCACCGAGCAAGACATACGGCAGATTGAACGGTTCTTCACCAGTCTCAAGAGTCGTGTATACGTCTGTCCAGCCCTAGCCAATCTCTACTTCACCACCTTACAAGATATGGCAAATCTTGGTGGCTGGGAGCTCGCCACGACAGGGTTTCCTACATTGATCTTCGAGAACAGACAAAATGAGCGGCGGATTGTGTTGTGTATCGCCGAGAAAGGGACTGGGTTTGTACAGTGGAAAGACGGTCTGAACCAAGACAGCCAGTACAAGTCTCCGGAGAGAAATTTCCATACTCTCTGTGTCTCTGGAGACGCACACAAACTGGCCGGTTTGAGTTTCGACAACGACCTTGCAGCGGCAGAGCTGCTAGACACCGTACACGCTTGGCTTGATGAGCTGGCCTCGGAAGGAGACCCCGCTAACTCCAAGAAGAAAAAGAGGAAACATAAAGAACCCAAAGTCACCCTGCCAAAGAAGGAGACGATATCGCAGCCGTGTATGTTCGAACACGTCACAAATTTGGACCACGAGAAATTCGTCCAACGGATGATGGGCAATGCGACCGCTGTTGCAAATCCCCAACAAACTGGAGGTGTACCTCAACAAGAAAACGGAGACACTTCTAAAATGTTGGCCTACGCTGAGAGCACTTCTACGGAAGATTCGGGAATGGATGAACTTCACGAATGATGATGATCATCTCCAATATCGGTCTACTCACCCTGTTATTGTTATAAGAGCAGTGTACATTATGCAAGTTTGAGATAAGATTACTATGTGCCTTTAAATTAAAGGTGGACCAGAAAATAGCCTATGCAATATTTAGACATTCTTCCATGCAATTTGAATATTTTCCACGCTGTGTTGGTTGATTGACAGAAAATTAGAACAAGGAATTCCGTCAGCATTATGATTTCGGTTTTTATTTATGGCCGCTTTTTACAGTGGTTGGGAGACGTGGATTTGTTTTTGCCGCTGTTCGATAAAGTGATTTGCTATTGTGATTTATAAATGTGGCAGCACCTTTGTGTTTGAGTTGTATCATTCCATAGATTCCATAGATTGCTTTGAGAAGTTTGGCTATTGCGAAGAAGACGTGTGTAAAACGTCGTTGGTTGAATGTGTACAACCAACCGTAGTTAATTTATGAAGTGTGATACGAATTACGAATTGCTTAATTAAAAGTAGTAACCGGATATATAAGCCTACTGATAACTGCTTGTTTGTCGCCAACATTGTTTCTGATCCCCAACGCGGCCTGTGCTCTGTCCATTGCTATTTGTGCGCGTTTTAATGCGGAGTTTAAACATTTAAACGGCGTAACTCATCTTTATTTTAATGGATCGATATATATTGAAATGAAAGGCGAAAGACAATAATACACTGCTTATACTGAACACAGCTGATGAGAGGGACGGCGCTCTCAGAAATTGGCATCTATTAGGACATAAAACAGCTTTGCTCTCTCAGCATGATTTTTTTTAATATCTGATATCCAAAAAAAAAACCAGCTGGTATTATATACTATCGAAACCGCAGTCCACTTTTGTACGTTAATTTAATATTGTTTATGTTTGTCTTTGAAATTTTGTTATTTATTGTAGCGAACATTACTTCTTTCAGTTAATTCTGTTTTAGTGACAGTTTGTCAAATTGTGATTGATGTTATTAAGTTTCTTGTTATTGATTTGTGAAAAAATGGGTGGGTTTTTTTTCAAATGTTACTACCATGTGTCTTCGTGTATTTGCTTTGTGGTTTTGTGCAACATAACAGTTTTTATAATTTAGGCGTAAATTATAGAACATTTTGTGGAATATCTAAAAAAAAAAATAATAAACAACTCATATGCATATTAAAGCAACTGTACAACAGTTTCCTTTCACTTTTATCAACACACCCCATTTTCTTATATCAACAAACTGTGTGTATCGGGTTTTGTTACAGCGATACCTAAACATAATTATGCAAAACCGTTTTCTATTTCACGACTGTACATGTTTTACAATACTGGGAAATGTTATGAAATATTTATCAACGAAACAGAAAGAAGTAACAGTGATACTGCTGCTTGAACCAGGTATCCATGTACATTGTTTACAGTTCATGCGTGGGAAATTTCATTTTTATATTGCTAGTAGTTTGGAGATATAGTGGTTGTAAAAATTGAAGGAATGTCTGATGGAGAGATGGCGGTACTTGGCTTGGGTCAAAGATCACGTACGTGTATTATTATTGGAAACTAATGACGCTTGCGAAAGGGACACACTGTCACGTGACTTGTTCTGTAATAAGTTTTATTGTTGAAGTCAAGTGACGTATGTGTTATTAAAAAAAGAAGGACGCAATGTTTTGCATATTTTTTGTATCTTGTGTTTTTACGTGGTTAAATTCACAAGCTAATCATCATTCGAGAACCGCCACATTTCAAAGAATTGAGTGACGTATTTTGTACGTTTGTGATGGGTCGGTGAACCCATAAATGCCCCTATTTGATCCTTTTTCTCTCATAATCAGTGGTATTAAAAAAGGTACACTTTAGTTTGGTTCGGAACCGCGTAGTTGATTGTATTTTAAGTAAAAACGATACATGTATATTTTTAATGGTGTTTGCGGTCCTTTTATTGTCAGAGGCAATGAATGTATTTTAGATATCGAGTACACACACGCGAAATAACTTAATGCTGATAAAATAAAAATGATAATTTTTTAAATACATTTGATATTCTTCCTGATTCCTGATTGTTCTAGGTATAGCCCATGTGTGATTCTGTGGAAAGGTTTGACATGTCCCTGTACATGACTTCGCGGTGTTTCATCTGTTTTCCTGTTTCCTTGCACATCGAGGTCAAAGCGTTGATATCCAAGCCTATCGTCAAACTTCAATCCTTAGACTTGTGTAGAATGGACAGGAAAATGGTTGCCGTGAGATAATGATATGAATCCAGTTGATTTGTTCAGTTATCGGTTACGTCACTTTGCCGATCAGGAAATGTTTTCGAATGAAACTAACCCATGCATGGCCAGCAAACCTGATGCACGTTTCGCAGAAGTTTTAGTAGCCCGACAATTCAGTTTTTCTCCTCTGATTTACATATGTCTGATGTTGTTGATCCTTCGTCATGTTGCGAAGTAAACTTACTCGCGGTAAAAAAATATATACAAGTACATGTATATATATTTTGATTGATTAATTTAGGTCGGCTGCCGGCCTGCCATTATTGAAGATGACAAAGACGTACTGGGCCTATGCGAGCATTATGTTGGGACCAGTGACTCTTGCGTGTCTTTCACAGTCACTCGAACTGCATGATAAAAGTTTAATGAGGGAATGACAAGCATGCATAATTTGGTTAGTATCAATTAATTTTCAGAATTTGTTGGAATTTTCCTGTGGGTTGTGCTTTGCTGATGTGAGACACGTGCAGCCCATATGCCACTTATTATAATTCGTGACCCCACATGTTTATTTTTCTTGAGCAGTCTGATCATAGAATGGGACGTTTAAAAGTTCCTTAATTAATGATATAAATGTTTTGTATCAATGTGGGTGGCAAGCTTGTTTTGGCCCTTAAAATTGATGCTCTTCCATATTGCAAGAAAACCGTGCTCTGTGATTGATTTACGGGTAAGGGCGTTTCTTTGCGTCGAAAAAGAATCCACAGGAATGTGGAACTGTTTGCACTGTTCGCGCGCTGTTAACCTCAATCTAAGATTTTAAAGGGACGATCGAAGATTTTAAGAAGAAAAAGAGAAAGACATTAAACAATTGAAAATAATGATTCAAATTCATTTCTCGAAACCTTTTTTTTTTCTAGAATCGGGCCTCAAGGCTCTCTAGTTCACAATCTAAAGATGTCTTCAGTGATTGAAACATGCTTTTTACCGGTCAAATGACTTGTTTTCTTTTTATAGCGCGATGTTTTCATTAAATTTGAAAGTTATAACGGTTACCGACCTTTTAAGGCCCCCCCCCCCCCTTCAACACAGGACGGCTTAATTAAGGCGCCTCCACCCACATTTCGATGGGGTTTCTTGTAGACATTATGGATCAGTCTTGCACTGTAGCTGGCGGCCATTGGTGACCTTTTAGCTCCTGAACACATGTTATCGAGTTCAGAATAGTTATTTGTTTCGATTTGGGGAAAAACATGGGTCATGAGTCATCTCTTGCCGCATTGTCCGCAGAAGTTGAAGTGGAGTGTTTCGGGAGCGCCAATCTTGATGGTTTGTGGACAAGTATTTTAACTTGATGCAGCTACCTTTGAAAATAGATTGCTCTTAATGATGATAAAGAAACAAATCCTGAAGTATCAATGTTACAACACCTTTAAACGAGGGAGACAGAGGAATTATTAAAAAACTTAAAACGTGAAGATGAGTCCAAATTACACGTATGTATGGATTCTTATCCGGTTTTTTTAATATATTAAAACGCAAAATTAGCCTTTATTGCAAACTATTTTTTCTTTTAAATTCCCATACACATGGAACGAAACTTCTTTTAAATGAGGACCTCGCCGCGTTCGTGAAGGAATGCACGTAACTTATGCATAAACGCGATTTTGAACAAGGAAGCAGAGCTATAGAGGAAACTGCCGTGCGCGGTTTCCGATCGCCAATGAAAAAAAACTGCACTGAGTCGGTTAATGCTGACAAATTGAGACCTGAGTAGCGAAATGACGAAGCAAATCAGTAGCACGAATTTCCTGATTCAAATATAAAGGAAATAATAACTGCAGTGTAACTGAAGATAACATCTCGTATAAACATACCGAGCCATCGATGTGAGACCATTATGATTCAGACAAACGGCATTTCAACTATAAAGGCCGGTACTTTATTGTACCGTTTTGCTAAAACTGTAGTAGGCCATGGGTGACTTGGACAAGTCCTTACTTATCCCTTCAAGGAAACGCCTAAAATTCCACAATATCGGCAGAATAAAAAAAGGTGTTTTCCCACTGATAACAAGTTCTGAAATAGTTGATTATGGGCCTAATGATGTATAGCTTCGTTCATTGGCAATCATTTAAATAATGCTTCAATATACTGTGTCGGATGTATGCGCAGCTAGCTACGTAGCCTACTGCTACATAGCATCCATTGTTGGCGTAATCCTTGCAGGTTGAATTGTTATTATAACCCCGACGTGTAATTCACTAAACACGCAATGTACGCCAAAAGCCATGCCATGTTTATTATTCAGGTTCATTGGTATTCATACAGCACAGACCTGGCATTGACTTTTTATATGCAAAGCACTTTTATTATGCAGTAGACTGGTTCCCAGTCAATCCAACAGTGCGGTTCTGACTATACGCATCGCTGATTCATAGTGGGGTTAAAACCACTCATTATGCGGGGGGGGGGGGGGGGTGTCATATAACGGTCACTGCGTTAGGGAACATTCAAACATTCAAAGCACGTTATGTTGGGATCTAGCAAACAAGATCAAAGATGAAAGTCATGGCCTAAAGTGGGTATTGTCATACTAATCATGCATTCATGGCAAACTTTCAACACGGGAAAGAATATATACTGCACACAATTATGTCACACACCAATTTAGTTTACATTAAATGTTTAGTATTGTGATTTGGACACAAGTTAAAAGACGGAAGTGTTTGGGAAACGAGAAACAAACATAGCAATTTGCAATGCATAAAACTGTGAACGTATTCCGAGTCAAAGTTCATATAGTCTGTCAAAGTGCTAAATTTTCTGGTCTCGGTAAGGTATCCAAGTGTTATCTACTTCTTGCTCAGCAAATAATCAAATTCAAAAGAAAAGACACAAGAGAACGCATCCCCGCTGTTCTCAGTCTTATCATGGAGCTATAAAAAGGATTATAGCTCCATTGTCTAATTAATACACACGCTCACTCCTGATCCTGCTGGGAAACCTTCATTTACATGTAGAATCCATCTCATACAGGTAGAACCCATCCGGTGCAGGTAGGTTATCTCAGACATCCCATGCCAGCTGTGAATTCAGGAGATGCTCCTGTGACCAGCGGGAAGGCGCGGTGTCGTTTACAAACCAACTCCTGTTTATTTGAGATAGCAAGAAATACGGGTCATTAAAATTATATCTACTCGGTTCCTATATTTGGGCATGTGTTTGTGCGTGTGCTGAGAAAAATGTTTAGATATTTGACTGGAGTGAATAATATATATTTGCACCACAGGTTTTCATTACTTTAAGTCTATTAAAATGTACATGCAGTTATCATTCTTGAGGTAGTTAGTTAGCAAACTAAATACGAGACTATGCTATGTTTAGTAAAGAATATTCTCATGTCAGAGGTGTTTGAAAAAAATGATGAAATTGTAAACAAAATAAAATTTTGTGAAGAGATACTAGATGAAGAGACCGTTTTGTTACAAGAAAATAAGTTCATTCAGGTGTAACTTCACCCGGGAAATGTGGTTTTCCGTTAACCATGGTTACAGGAAATCTCAGGTTTCCAGGGTCACGGGTTTTATCGGACGTTCTGGCATGTTGTCACTTCCGATGTCCTTCATTTCTCAAAGGACAAAACTGATGATCTATTGACGTGCATAACTCCTGCTTCTACTCGAAAATCGTTGTAAACTGTAGGATTTTGTATGCCAGGGTTCCTTTTGATTGTTTTTTGGTTTAACAAAAAAATCACAATGATGTGGAGTCAAATTTGGAATCGGTTCCATTTTTGAACCATAGGAATGTTCACGGGTCATTTCTTTATTTTCTTTTAAAAGGACGACTGTTAAAATATGTATGTCACAGTTGCTAACGAACCAAGAGTTTTATAAAAGAACAGTACAAAATCGGGCAAAAATTATTATAGAATATGTTAAATGCTGCGTAATATAGAGAGACTGTTTATAAGCGTCTGAAATAAAAGGCGTTGACTTTATGGTTAAGGTTGTTTATGTTAACCGAAGAGGGCGCTACACTATAAACACTGCGATGGGCGCGATTTTTTGGTCCATACCATGATAATTTTGCTATGGAGGCAAAGCAATTTTCGAGGAAGTTTCTCGCATAGGCTAGTTAGGTCCTGATAAAATTGACACGCAACTGATTGAAACTTGCGTCGACATCTGTGTTGAACACATGACTGTTGCGTTGGGATCGGGATACACTGCATAAGGAGAACAAAATCAAAATCCAGTTTTGGAGCAAAGACTAGATATGAAGTCTTTGTACAGACATAAAGGTTCTTCATGTGAGCTGCATTTTACATTAAATGGCGCCCCCAACTTTTCCCCACGCGCCCACCCGTACTCCTGATTTATTTCGAGATCTCGTGGCGTACTAGTCTTGGCTCAAGACACTAGTGATCGGTAGCGGTCCCGACAGTGCGCCCTCTAACGGCACAATAATTAGACTGGCGCGCCTGCTGAAAGTAAAAAATTAAAAAACCGGTTGTGTGCGGAGGACGCTCTTCAAAAAGTCTACTGACGCAAACCCGGCACAATAATCATCATCATCTTCATATCGGACGATCACACTACGGTCGATGCGTCCACATCGCTAATAGGCGGTCATTTGATGCCATAGGACTTTGTACCACAAATCACGCAGTTCTTATCTACCTCAATTGTACCAGTGATATGTAGATGTTCATAAAACCATGGTTTGGAAACAAATGAATGTTGTACAAACATAGTGAGTTGAAAGTTCAATCCAGAAAGGAAATCATGTTTTAACAATACATGTACTTATGTATGTTACTGTGGCGAAAATGCAATTCGGAAAACGCTTTGAAAGGTTTGACTCGAGTTTAGGCCTTCTCCATCCATTTACTTCTGGGGTTATTAGAATCATGTTTAACGTTGTTAACTGGTGAAACGTAATCTCGACTTACTTAGTTAATTCGTCTAGGGGCTTCAATACTCCTCAATGCTACACCTTTTATTCAGAGGAAGAACTTGAACTTGAAGCAAAGAAAAAAGTGCTTCACTAATGCACACAGACAAGCCACATTATATTAAAAAGATTATAGACAGGCGTTCAGAAATGACATAACGGCCTACCTCCATGTTATATGCGTTTAGTCATCACACATAATTATCATCGCCCTATTCACTGTATGCAAGGCCTTATCTTTAGTTTGTTTAACCGTCTTTTTATCACTAAACAAATTATACTAGTATAGATAGGGACTGGTCAGTACCGGGCACGTGGTCTACCACTGAAACGACCAAATGTTCTACCTAGTACCACTGGTACTTCTGTGAGTGCTTGTACCAGACTTTTTAATAAGTTTAATTGTCAAACATCAAGTTCTTGTCCAACCCTTTTTCAGAACTATAGTCCCATACGCAAGACGCGTGAACCGATAGCGAACGATGGTTGAGGTCAAACGATCCAACGAGTCATCAGAGCTGCATACGGACTCTGGGGTCAAGTCAGCAGATAGTGTCAACAATGGAGCGACGGTTGTTGAACTTGAAACAACTTTTTCAGGCCAAGGTATTGAATTTAATTGCACATCAGTCTGTAAAGACCGTTGAGCAGTTAACTATTATTATTTCTTTTTGGTCGCACACGGCGCGCTATCGTGTCTAGAATTTTATTTCAATTCATTCATGCCGTCACGTATCACACACGTCGGTGCTCTGTATCGTGGACTTGAACAAACCTAGCCCAGTTTTCCGGCTACATCCATGGTCGGATCATGATCGCGGTGTAAATCTGTTTCAATTGAGAATATTGTGTACGCATGTGTCTTCTATTTAAACGGTTCAATAGATGTATATATTAATAAACTAGGTTACCACATGGTAGAATAAGCGACTGTCCTCATAAAATTGTCAATCTCCGAAATCTGTGGCGGCGTTTACACACTGCTGTATGGCCTTTCTCGGTTGAACGCACTTCCCATCCGCCATTAAAAAGATCACCCAAAGTGTATTGACGGCCAGATGGAGCAAAATTGAGCATTCGCAATTATTGAAAATTATTGCATTGCAGCCAACGATAAGACTGATATGACGAAGGGTGATGAAGACGATCTCATCAGCAAGCAAAATCTACTGGATGTTGCAGCAACGTCGGGTGAAACTGAAGCTGAAGAACCGACTGGTGATGATGGAGTCTCGCAATCGGACGTTTCCCCACGGGGGACGAGTTTATCCGAAAACGTCCGAAAGACTATCTTCGGGTTACTCATCGTAATCGGTATTGCAGTATCGTGGGTTGGAGCAACGCAGTTCAGCCAGAGCACGTATACTACAGAGTTCTCGTCTGCTTCCGTCAATGTCTGGTTTTCAACCTCATGGATGCTGGTCTGCTATCCAGTCTACATTCTTGGCGCATTGGTGTTCTTGCCTCGCAGTCGAAGTGTAGAAGGCTTCAAAAATTTATACAGGTATCATTTCCCCCTTTTAACAACTTCTGTTTTTAGACTGCAAGAAGCGGTAGAAGGTGTTTTTTTTTATGAAGATGGAGCTGATGTCCTTGACTATCGTAACTCGCAGGGATTGAGATGTTGCTTAGAAAGATTAGAACGACAACCACAGACTAGTTCATAAAGCTCATTCCAAATAAGTTTTATTTTCAAACATGAGATAATTACGTTTTGATATAAAAAAAGAATAATAATAACATTATGCATTAAACTAACTTGATAACTTGCTTATAATCCATCCGTTGTAGGGATGCCGAGACTGTTTTTGGTGGGCGGGGCCTTTGCCTGCGAACCTTTGCAACCCTCACCGTACCTTTCGCTGCATGCTGGGCTGTCACCAACTATCTGTACGTGTACGCTCTGGGTAAGATAGCCGCAGCCGATGTGACGGCTATCTTCTCGTCTAATACCGCATTCATTTATGTCTTCTCGTGGCTGTGGCTACATGAACGGCTAGTCTTGCTGCCGGTTAGGGTATGTGAACCTCACTTCAACATTACGGCTTATGTGTTGGATATAAAATAACGTTATTAATAACTCACTTGGTCTCAGCGACCAAAGTAAGGAACTTTAAATAAGATCTAGCCTATCGATTAAGAACAATGATTCTACAAGGAAAGTGTTCATTAATTGCAACTGCACTGCTGAAGTGTCGTAAAACATTGTTTGGACAATTTGAAAAAAGTTTAGGATCACAAACATTTTCTTGTAACTACTTTTTCGCAGTAGGCTCGAAGGACTTTGCAAGGCACAGTTGGGTTTCTCTTTTTAGTCCAGCTATCTTCGAAGTTAATGGTAATGAAAACTAAAAAAATGAATGTACTTCGTATTTCCTTCTGTTGCGTTGATACAGAGTGTTTCAGTTCTGATGTCAATTGGTGGCATGGTGCTCGTCTCTTACGCTGATGGATTCAAAGGAACTACGGCACTTGGTGTAAGCTTCTCCATTGGGGCTGCCATCGGCTCCGCCATTTACAAGGTGACGTGTGTAGTAATCAGACACAAACTTGAGATAATTACGAGTTTGAAAGTGCAATGTTTAATTTCTTCAGAGTAGGAGATGCGTCCGATTTTTTATCTTTACTACCACTGGTTTTGAGAACTTTGCTTCCGACTTGATCGATAATCTCTCATTGTTCCTGCAGGTGTTGTTCAAGCGTTTCATCGGTGACGCTTCCTCCGGCCAAGTGTCTCTCTTTCTGAGTGTGCTTGGTATCTTCAATATTCTCTGCTTGTGGCCTTTTATCATCATCTTCTACTATACCGATGTGGAGACTTGGAGTTTTGACAATATTCCATGGGACTACCTGTGCGGCAGTGCAGCACTCAGCGTCGGTAAGTTGGGCCCTACCATTCTGAACTTAGTTTTTGGTAAAACTTATTATATTTCACTTTTATTTTTAATATTTGACAACCCTTCCCTTGAATGTGATAATGTTAAAGTCGGGTGAGAACTGTTTGGTATTAGTAAACTCCTGTCTTCAAAATACAATTCCTGAAATAAAGCTATAAGAAACATTTGTGTCGATTTCACGGATCAATAGCATATTGCATTTATTGCAGCTTGTTCTCTATTTCAGTTTTTCTCTCTTTTTTTCCGCCGATAGCTTTCAACTTTCTGATCAACTTCGGCATTGCTCTGACATATCCACTGTTTATTGCTCTCGGCACCGTCGTTGGTATACCACTAAATGCAGGTAAGCGATAAAAATGTGTGGTCGTTGCGAAAGATAAGTATGAAACGGCTGAAATTGAAGTGCATTACCTGCGATTTTTAACTTTTGATGCTGGAAGCAAAATTACCACAAAGCCTTCTTTGTTTTCACACACACAGTCGTTGACTTGCTTTTCCGAGGCAAGAATTTCAGCAACTTTAAAATCGGTGGTTCAGTGCTGGTCGTAGTCGGGTTCCTCATCATGCTAATGCCGGAAACCCTGCAGGCGAAGGCGGCGTGCTGGACCGAAGGCAGTTGCCCATGGGAACGAAGACGTCGCGAGAGAGAGGAGATGGGAGATGATACTGGTGAAGTCAACACTGGTATCGATACCAATACTATCGATACCAACGAAACGAAATATCCAGAAACGGACGAGGTTAAGGTTGCTGTGCAGTGACCATGTACCGTCGTAAACGGAATGTCGAATCGAATAAATTCAATAATAATGGTAGGAAATCTTTAAATGAATCTTGAAATCTGTCAGAGCTGAAACTTTCATTTTAAAGTCTTTATACCTTAACTGGGGATGAGTTTGATCGAAAACAATCCAGATAATCATGGTTGCACTTGTACTTTATCCAAAATGTAAAACCTATTAGGATGAATAAATTCATAAATTAATAAATTCAAAAGCATAAATGTTTAATAATACTCGGTCAATTACGAATGGAAAATCAGGCTTAACTTAGACACGGAAAATGAAAGCTACCAGTATACATACTAACAATCAGAAAGTGGAATATGTACACGTGACAGAAACCGTTATCCACTGTTAACTTGCCGCAGCTGACATTGGTCCGAAACCCACCAGTAGATTAACAAATGAAATGTGCTTCACCTTCCCACCTCTGTAAATTCTATGTACGTTGAAAGTCATAACACTTTGAATAACACATGAAAATCATACTTTTGCTTTTTCCCTTTTCGCTGTACCTATTGTAATAGATTTGTTTGTAGTATTATAATTTTGATGGTAACCAATCTGATCACATCCGGGGCGTGCTTACATCTAAAACCAAATATATATTTATCTATTGCTGGTGAATTTGCACTGTTTTAATAGGTTTTTTAAGCATAAAAATGTAAAGAGCATTACTGTGGATAGGCTTCGTCTCATCGTTTTAAAAAAAATTACATAAAAAAACCCAGATCAGCAGCCTCATGTGCTTCTTTAAAATCAATTCTGAAAACTTTAAAAATTGTTTCTTATTATACAGGGTGAGTAAAATAACGAAACCAACTGGCAGGAATAATTTTGAATAAAATTTTATAGCACTTTCAAAATCTAGGATAAGGAAGTCCAATCTAGGAGCTTTCTTTTAGTACAAGAACCATTTAAATCACTCATGTACTTTTGAAGTACAACAAAATGTAAGTGTTCTTTTGCAAAACGAAAACAATTCGCATGCATCCCTATGAAAATCGTTTTACGTTTCGCTGAAAGAACACTTTTTTGTGTGTGATCCGTTGACAGAACTTTAAAACGGTGTTTATGTTCACAATTCCGCAACTTGAAAGTATACATGAGTATTTGAATGATTCTTGTGGCAGAAAACTTAATGATTGGACTTTCATATCATACATTTTGAAAGTGCTACAGGCAAAACTTTATTCATAAATTGGTCCTGCCATTTTTGGGTGTCGGTTTTTTTTTTGACTCACCCTGTATTGTTTTTATTATTTACCATTTCATTTTTGAGCATTTTTTTATACCATCTTTATCACGTACATTATTTTCTTCGCATTTTTTTTTTTTTTTTATGTGATTTTAATATTAAATTCCTATATAACTGTAACGTCTTAAGATGCACTTCTATTGTTTTATTCACATAAACATATATATTGTTTCTAGTACCGATCATATCTCCCATAAGTTCGGTTATGATCTCACTTTTAAACCCCCATATTTTCATATCTCCTATTGGTTTAAATATTTTAAAATGTCTTTAATCCTTTCAAAAAATTGCTTTTTTAAATTTTTTTTTATATCTTCCTTGTTGTATGAATTAGGGCCCCGGAAAGGCCACATTATATGTGAAGGGGTTTCCCTGATTAGATCAGATATAAATTAATAAACAAACAAATGTGGTTTATTGTGGTAGAAACTCGATGTTTTCTTATCGCATTCCAATAACAACATGCACAATGCTTTCTTGTAGACATCTATGCGGATTAACAGAAGATTTCGGTGTGAATTTATGTTTCGTTTTGCTCAGAAACGGTTGTTTTTTATGCCTTATTAAAAATGCACCGTAAATAAAAAGCATCCTGCTCCGAGACCGCGGGGATCATAACACACGGGCAAAGAAAAGCCTACGGCACTTGGTATTCCCAGGTGATCTCCCATCCAAGTACTAACCAAGCCGACGTTGCTTACTTCGGTGATCGGACGAGAACCGGCGTATTCAACGTATATGATCGTAGGCAGTCTTGTGAAATTAATATGTATTTATAAATGCTGCAATAAAGGTTTTTTTTTTATTATATAACTTGCATTATTGGGAGCAAACTGCCTCATTAGGTTTAGCCCGTTTGCATATATACTGAAATGAGAACATTAAAAAAATGGGCATTTGTTAAACTTAAATATGCTGAAAATTGCAGGTTTGAATGATTACAATTGGCCAAGGATATTCTTGAACTATCCCCATACCAGCCTGGATGGAAAATGAATAAAATGTTCTCATGTGCATCTTTACTTTTCTATTAAATGTATAAATATTTAAACAAACAGTTTTCCCGAACGACGGTTCCCAACCTAAAAAAAAAACACTCCATACATAATTGAATCAATCAATCAATTAACTGACAAAATATGGCTGAAACACCTGTCGCAAACGATGACGTAAATGTACACGCACAATCTCTTTCTCGTACGCATTTTGTGTGTACCCGGGACCGGGCACGCCGGGAACGAGTTACAATTAGGTCACAAAATGGCGACGCGATGCGAGTTGCGAGTGGCGTAAACTCTCCAGTTCCACTGCTTCCACTAGATGATGTACATACTTGTACAACACTCATATGTCTGTATTTTTTGGAACGATTGATGTTTCTCATTGCTCGTTTTACACAGGTATGTTTGAACTTTTTACGTAATCAAGGCAATTTATTTGATGGAATAAGCTAACTTGAATTTTGAAAGCAAGGAGTTTCAATGGCCCGGCCCGGCCCGGCCCGGCCTAGCCCCAAATGTGGCCTATTTACTGGACTGCCTCCGTAAACATAGTACAAAAATCGTGTCGACGGAGTCAAATTTTGATTTTCACATTTAGGCTTAGTTTGTAGGGTTTTTTTGCTTTAGAAGCTTACTCACCCTCTTTATAGGCTAATCAGAAAGTGCTGCCTTTTTCAGATGTATATTTTTCGTGAAATTTCCAGATTCATTTTTACACGTTTGCGTATCAAAATTTCAACATGAAATTTCACAAAAATTAGACATCTGAAAAAGGCAGCACTTTCTGATTAGCCTATAAAGAGGGTGAGTATGCTTCTAAAGCAAAAAAAACCTACAAACTAAGCCTAAATGTGAAAATCAAAATTTGGCTCCGTCGACACGATTTTTGTACATGTGGATGTGTGGCCTATGTTTACGGAGGCAGTCCAGTAAATAGGCCACATTTATGGGGCTAGGCCCGGCCCGGCCCGGCCCGGCCCCATAAATAAATGTGGCCCAACAATGTTACAGTTAGCTGGAGTTACTTACCATGCCTCAGCCATGTCAGCCTGCCTTCGAACGGCGGAGGTAGTCCAGTTAATGGCCACATTTATGGGGCTAGAATTAGCAAGGAATACTAAATCTGTAAATTGTAATGATGAATTGTAATTTGTGTAAGCCTGCACAGTGTTAATATTTAGCCGGCGCCACCTAAATTTAGTATTTTCGCGAGTGGCTGAGCACTGAACATGCGCAGTTTATTTTTTGGGATTTAGATATTGGAATGGAACCCTATTCTTCCCCCCCCCCCCCATGAGTTTATCCACGCTCTGTCCACTAGGCCCTAGGTCTTGCGAATCCCATGGTGGCTATGAATACCTGTTGTAATGTAGAGGGCATTGTACAACCTACTTGGTAAAATAACATTTACTTAAATTTAGCCAGCGCTGGCTAAATATACACTTCCTATAGACGATATCTGTCAGACCCTTCAAAACGATGGGATTCTAAATGTCCTATTTCTTAGCTCTACTGAGTGGAGCGTTGAATTACGGGTACCCCGTACCCGTAATTCAACGCTCCACTCAGTAGAGCTACCTATTTCTATGCACTCACCTGTAATTTGGGTTGGTAAATGTTCGCGCGTGACAAATCGTTACCTGCGCATATGGAGGATCAAGGATTCCTCCACGATAGGGCATGCTTACACATTATGCAGTCATGGCAGTGGAGCAAACATTGCACAATGCAGGTTGGGTAGAGAGGCAGTCAGCACATCTTCAGAACTGCAGTGCAGACAACTACAGAATACAGGAGAGGTGTGAAAATGTTGTTACTGCTGTAATAAAATAGCGAAATGGTTATTAAAAATGTATTCCTTTTTAACTTTAAGGCTAATTTTTAGTAGGGATAACCTTCCTGGAGACATGGCCCTATTGTCTTGAGTATGTAGTGGCTCAGATATTGCCGTGTTGTATCCTTAGGATAAAGTGCAGTAATATGATATCCGACCCACACTAGTGCAAGTAGTGGGTCTAGGACCAGATATCATGTGCATATAGTTGCACCTGTACTATAGCTCCCTCATGTGTTCATTTAAAGCATATTGTTCATTTTGCATCCAGTCATCAGTAACTAGGGCTTTGCATTTTGAAATACAATTTAAGTAATCAATTATGATTTGGACTTGATCGAATATTCTAATATTGGAAATGTGCTGATCAAGTTTCACATGCACAGTCCTAAATTTGCTGCCCAATCCAGATTTGCATGTTCATACAGTTGTTAAAAATTGACTAAGATCTGAATCAGAGTATCATAAAGCAGAAGTAGCGGAATGGCTGATATTTGACCGATTTTAAAGAAGAAATTTGGGCTCTCAAGTACGTGACACTTTTAGAATATTTGAATCAGAAAAAGAAATGGCAGGGTATTTCGTCGATGATCGAATACTCAAAATATTTGGGATATTTGCACAGACCTGTCCTTTACCCCTGCACCTCCACACCTTTGTCTTTGCATGTGCTTCCTAAACTTTGCTTCATGAGATCTGTGCTCCTATTGGATTTTTTGGGGGGGGAAATAAATTTCAATTCAATCCAATTAAGGTCTTACACATGTAGGTCTTGGCTAGCCTGCTAAACTCCTCTCCTGCTCAGTGCTCAATCACGTTACTTTGGGGATATTTCTGCTCTTGGAATTTTCCCTCCCTTAAAAAAAAACAAGTCACATTTTAGGTCTGCATCTTACTTGGCATTGCCTTGCACATGTTCCCCCTTGATCCCCTTCTCATTTTATCCCAGCACAGCTTTTAAATACATACACTTTTAAATACATACCTCAAAAAGGGTGTAATTTTATGGCCTTGTGTTATAGTCATCACACTCAGACACTCTGAGTGTAAACAAGACTCTTGGGGAATGGGGAGGGGGATGGGGAGGCATTGTGCCTTCCTTTGTTACACCATTGAAGTGGTTTTAAAAAAAACATGCTAAATCCTGCGAACTCTCTCTGTTTTTGGCATTTTTGTGTTTCAAACGAAGTCAAATCTTTCAGATATCTCAATTCAGTATACTCCCAGTTAAATCATTTTTAAATTACATTAAATTTTATCACATAATTGTGCACACTAAAATGCATGAAATCAACATCTCACTCCCAAGGTCAAACAGTTTTTTTTTTTCCCAGCAATCAATATTCAAATAATTTGGTGACAGATGGTTGTTCTAAGTTCCACAATCCAATTCATTTAGTCAGTCATAGTAAATGTATTCATTCATGTGGGAATAATTGATTAACAATGCTCTATGCTCACATCATCGTATCTGCGAATAAGTGGCGTATGCAGAAAGTAGTGTATTTGCTATTGATCATATATTTCTTTTAGATAATGCTCATGGTAGGAAACTTGGACTTCAGAGAAAATTAACCAACAATAACCAAACAAATCAAACCTGACAAAGAGGGAAATTGGTGGTACAATTTCGCTTTTACAAATTGATATAAAAAAAATTGGATCTGTATTGAAATGTTGTCATTACAATTTGAACCCCCCCAAAAAATGTTTTCACTTTTGGTGGAGAAGAGCTATTCACCCTCAATCTGTTGAGTGATACAAATGAATGTGTATGCATCTTTAGACAGACATTTTCTGATCCTGGCAGCATTCTCGTTGAGATCAGGGTGTTCAGACTTCAGATTTATTCATCTTGAAAAGAAAATAATTGTCAAGTAAACGTCTATTCTAATTGCAGCGTCAAGTGTGATGCATCTCCAAATGTTCATCAGAGCAGCCATCTTGGTTACGTTGGTTGCCTTAGCAGCCAGTCTAGACTGTAGCTATGATGACCAAGAAGGATACATCATTGATATCCACAACTCGGAGAAAAATGGAGCAATTTTTATGTCCGACGTGAACACTGTGACAAGAGAGAGCTGCCAGAATGCTTGTTGTGATGCAGAGGAAGGTATACTATATGTCTTACCCCCGGTTCAGACAGGCATTCCAAAGTCGATTAGGAGCAACTTGAGGTCGACCCAAATAGATTTTGTTTTCAGACAAGAGAACTCAATACACTGGAGAATTGTGTACAAACAAATGAACACACGACCTTAGCAACAAGCCGCCATTGTGCAGCGCCATCGATGCATATGGGCTGTGCGTTCCTTCACTAAACGCCTTCTTAACCCCTTCTGCCCGTGTATGTTTAAAGACGCTGATTGACTATTCAGAGCGTACTGCACGTGTATCAAAGACAGCTAGCCATACAGCTAGCATGCCATATGCGCTGGCGTTATCTTTTGCACATCATGTCAGGTTGCAAACAGTTTTTCAAGACTGCGCGATGCCTGTACCATATGGATACTGGAAATCTTTGTGTTTCGCTAATAAATTGTGCTAATAAATCTTGTGTTGTATAAGGATGACAGAGGGATGGATGTACATTCAATAAAAGTTCTTGCTCTATAACACGATGTCGAAATCTCGTGTTTGAAAGGATTGATTCTGCATAAGAAAACTTTTAAGCACTACGTCGCGCGTCACGTTAAAAACATACTGCAGTCCTAATTTATGAAGGTTAATACTTATTTACATACATGTACATACATTTGCATTAAGTTTGGCTCATGACTAGAGCGATGTTTAAATCAAGTCGCTCCCGAGTCGTTCAGAACGACTCCGACAGTCAATCTTTCGCCATCTGGCACGTCTAGTCGCTCCTAATTGTTTCAGACGTCAAACTTTTCATTACTTAATTAAAATCTTGGTTTTCATTTGGTTCTGCGGGACTCTAGGACCCCTGTCTGATCCGGGTGTAATATTACTATTGTTTCACATCTTCTGAGGAGTGAGGACTTCTGAATAGGCATCACAAGATATTCACCATTCATGAATAGCATTTGCTTGGAAATCATGGAATCTTGTAGTTTGTCTCTCAGACATAAATCAATCAATACATCAACAATTCAAATGTTTGTCAACGTAAGGTAATGGACGTATTTTTCTTTTCTAGTAGACAGTTTTGCCAGGCACAGGCATTTTGTTTACCACAATTTATTTATTCTCTGAGATATGTCAGAACATTTAAAAAAAAATAAATGCTGGTTTATGCACCTTATACTTGTGACCTTGTGCCTGCTGGTGAACTTGCTGGTGCACTTGCTGGTGCACTTGCTGGTGCACTTGCTGGTGCACTTGCTGGTGCACTTGCTGGTGCACTTGCTGGTGCACTTGCAAATTTGATGCACTTCCAGATTTTTCTTTTCAACTTTTCTGCACTTCCATCAACCTAAGGTATTTTGGAATGTTTGTGTTTTTGCAGTGACTCTGGAAGACGGCAGCATAGCCTGGTGTAATCTAGCTGTTTACCATGACAAAAGCAGGGACAGGAAATCCAAGAACTGCTTCCTTGTCTTCTGTCCATCAGAGAATTCCTGCCGACTGACAAAAGTGAAAGGTTTTACCTCCAGCTATGTGACAGAAAGTAAGTCCAAATTTGAGACAGGTTATATACAGATATGTTTTGGTCTATTTGCGTTGCCCACAAGAGAAAAAAAATGTAAAAATAAATTGTGGTTGACAGCCTTAGCAGCGATTATCACTAACAATTGATTGCTGACCCTTGAATATCTTCCCTCTTTACTTTGAATAACAAATGTAGCAATAGAGAAAGTCCTAATCTCTTCTGATTAAAGCTAGAAAAGTTTCCAATAAATGCTCTTAACAGTGCTAACTCGCATGGATTAACATACTAACTTTTTGGTGGGTGGTTTGATTTATCAACAGCGATGGTCGAAGAGACAACTGACCCCGAGGGTAAGCGGTTGTAAAAGTCATGGATTCACTTCACTAAAATTCTAAATATTGGGGGAGGGGCCATTTGAGCAGCTGACCTGCCCCCCCCCCCCCCCCCCATAAATTGAATGTGGCCCCTCCCCAACAGTGGCCATAACCATCCGCACCATTTACACAATTTATATTCATCTTCCAATGTGTTGTCTGAAAATCACCACTGTGACCTGCGCTCATGAAACACTGGACTGAATTGATTGTTTCATGTTAGTAATGTTTGATGATAAGTTACCTTGTCTTATTATTTTATTCATTTTCTCATAAGATGTAATGATAAACAATGCATACAACAGTCTTCATATAAACACTGCATACTTGGGAGGGGTTATCTGAATGATCTTATATTTACTAATGTTCTCAATCATACAAACACTCATTTGGGGCTGAATTCTGACATTCCATCTCAACAAATGATGCATACAGTATACACCAACAACTAATCATACTAATGACTTGATTTCATTCCCCGTGAACCCTAACACATCCCAAGCCTTTGCAAACAGACCTCCCAATCCCAAGTTTTACCGCCCCGACCTACCCATAAATTTCCATAAGTTATTCAGGAGAAGTAACTCTGACAAGAAGACTGAGACTGATGCTGGTGATGCTGCAAAACAAACTAAGATGGTCTTGGAATCTGCCAAGAAGCTCTTGGATGTTAAAGTAATGCCTGCAGTCGATGGGGAAGACAAGCAGATGGCCGCCGAAGAAGAGAATATCCTGAGTGAAATAGCCCAGGGCGCTCTCCAAAGCATGGAAAAAAGGGCAAAGGGCTCCAAGAATGACATACCATACCTCACCACACCGGTTGTTTATGTAGAAACGACAAGCAAGCAACCACAGAAAACAGCAAGACCAACCACTTCCAAAGTAAAAATCACTACTCAGAGGCCTACTGCTAAAAAGACATCTACTCGTATCTCCCAAACTGAATCTCCAACACAGAAGACGACCTCTATGAAACTGACAGAAGGAACTCGAACCAGCACACAACCATCGACCAAGAAGCAAGAGACTATCAAGCCAATAATATCCTCTCACAGGCCCACAACGGCAGCTGCCACCAACCCATCTACCTCCCCCTTACTTGCTAAATTAACCACCTCTGGTAATAAAACCCCTCTGGTAATTACTAGTACCCCATCAGGAACCCCTCGACCCACTTCACTTTCCCAGCCACAGGGTACCTCTCAGCACCCAGTAACCCTTACTGCAAGTACTAAGGGTCCCTCACCTGGAACCTCCAGTGCCAAAGCTCTAACATCTCCTTCCTCCCTTGCAACTGCCCCTTCCACTAAGCCACCCTCGGGTAGCACAGCAGCGCATTCTACCAGTAGCACCACCACCAAATCATTGGGAACATTGGCGACTTCCAGTTCACCACCGTCAAATGTTCATAGCGTTACCACTGAGCCATCATCAACCCAAGGTGATCTACAAACCCAGCCTTACACATCCACACAGTCCCCCCTGAAATCTAATACTACTACTCCCAAAGACCTGGCCTCTCATTCTCAATTAACATGGCGACCTACTACTACCCCATCATCCATTACCATGCATGATATGTCATCCCATGGTACATCACAATCATCTTCGCCACCCCCTCCAAATGACCAGTCTGTCTCCGCCCACCATCCACCCTCCTCCACTGTCTTAGACCAATCATTCCCTACCTCACCCACAGCCACAATTCCTCCTGTTACCAACCAATCTCACACTAGCAGATGTGAGCCTGTCCACTGGTCATGGTACCGGTTAGTTTGGTTTTTGTCTTAGTTGAGTTTGCCTATAGTGCATGTTGTGAAAGCTGTAAAATACCAAAATTACAATGTGTAGAAAACGCATCCCACTATCCTGAATCCAACAAAATTCGCACCAAATCTCCTTTGAACTTTGAAGAATTCAGAGTAGCATATCCACGTAACTACTGCATTAAATGGGTCATTTGGTGGATTATGGCAGATTCATACTAAAATTATTTTGGGTTGAGGTTTGCATGGTTCTTTCAATCATCTTTGTTTTATTAATTTGCCCTATCCAAATTATTGCCTTTAATGTCCCAGAACAAAAAAAAATTTAAAAAAGGAAAATATGGGACGTTGTTTTTCATTTTTATTGTTTTCTTCTTTTTTTCTCTCTCACAGACTATTCATAGTCCACTGGCCTCAATCGGTCGCACATAAGTTTTACTTTTAAATAGACTGTTAAGCTACCAGGACATGCACAAGTAGCTTTCCTGTCTGTGTATATACACACGACGCACATGATAAAAAAGCAAGCTTAAATGGCATGCATGTCTTTTGTGTTTCTATTTTTGCTACTGCAAGTTACTCTGGTGTTGTGGGCTGATCTTTTTCTATTGTGAATGTGTAATAGAAGAAAAGAAGATCGCTACCATTTCAAAGTTATTCCATTAAAGAAATGTTTAACCAGCTTGTGATTTAAGGGGTATACTTTATCAACATTTAAAAAGGACACATCCAAAGGAAAACTACGTTCTAAATTGGACTTGGACCTCAGTTGTCTATGCCTCCAGAATGTCGTGCCTTGCAAGTCAGTTTCAGTGAATATAATTTTTTTCTCCCGCAAAATCTAGAAACAACTCGGTCTTCCACACTTCTTCCCGAGAATGAGTCCACTTTGTCTCCCAGTACTAAACAGTCAACTCCAATTCCTGATTCTACATCTCCATTTAAGACAACTCCGTCCATACCTGCCAGCATCTCCATGGATAATCAAAGCTCTTCATCCATCCTGTTCAACGAGACCAATGTAAGTGTTCTCCTTGTCATTTATGGAACTGTCGGTGAATGGGATACACATTAGAACAAAGACCCAACCTAAGGGCAGGCAACAATTTCCTAGAATTCATTGATTGCTAATGTGACATTACCATTCTTCCTTCTGTGACTGGTAGGGTTCAGCAGTAAATAAGATGCAGCACGCAGTACTGATATTAATGTTGTGCATTGGGTTGTCTAGGCCAAACCGACCCAAAACATAGATATAAACCAAGTCTGAACTGGAACTGATCTGAACTCTCCAATTTGGACCAGATGATCCAACCTAAACCCGACAAAAATTCAGAAACAAAAACGACCCGAACCGTATCAAAAAAAATTAAATATCTGGCTTGGGCAAATCGTCCTATATTTCATGAACTCTTGTGTCTGCTTTTTTTGCCTGAACTTACCCGTTGCGTGAATTTTTTGAAAAGCGTCAAATCTTAGACCAGAATCATACCGTATGGTATGGTGAACACTTCTAACATGACCTACATGGTGGGCCTACACGCTATCCGGTTAGTAAGTGACTGCGTCAAACACACGCGCGCCACTGATTTCTAGCGCCCATAACATGTTACTTCCAGTTCCAATGGTTACAATGCTTCTTTGAGTTGTCGTTGTAGTATGCGTGCAGTACTGCGCACATTGACTCTACAATAATCTTGCACCATGTGCATTTCCGAACTGTTTCAGTTTTTTTTTGTTTATTTCGGGTTTTTCAAAAGATGGCTTAACCGACCTGACCGGACCAAAAAATCACAAACCGAAACCAAACCAATTGAAATAATGAAAAAACTGACCCGATGTGACCCAAAGTTGGTTTCAGGTCGGGTTTGCACAACATTAAATATTTAACATAGGTTGACTCTACAACAGAGGTCACCAAGGCAAGACAATGCTTTGATGTACTGGCCTGTCTATGACACAGTTGAGAATGATGTCATATTCCGACTAAAAACACAGAGCGTATAGACAGCTAATTACCTTATGTATAGACATCAATCTATGTCAGGGAACAAATACTTGTATCATGTAGAGTCAGAAAATTTACATATTATTTGTTTCTGAACTATTCTTATTATCAGTACAAATTATAATCACTGTTCTTATCCCTTTTTATTATTTCCAGATTTCCGATGACTTAGCCACGGATGTTGATTCTGAAGATGGGCAAGATTCCTCCGAATACAGTGTTAATGCCTCAAATGGTAATACTGTTCACAGTTATTTTATGTACTGAACAGCCTTGCAAACAGTTCCACCTGTTTTGACAAATGCAAATAACACTTTTTCATGAAATTGGATGTAAACAATGCTGCGGTTAGAGTGTAAAAGGATACATAGCTTGTTGGAAAGTACAAACTGAAAATACAGCAGTTTGTAAAAAGATGGTAAATTTCTTGTATGATTTGTTTCTAAGGTCTCAAATTTAGGTCTGAAGGAAGGTACAGCATAATAGTAGTAGCTTATTTAGAACTTCAAAAGACTCTTTTTGTTTTTGCAGGAGCCTTGATAGCAGCAGTGTGCTTCGGTGTTATCTTTCTCCTGGCTGTTATGGTGGTCCTTGGTAAGCATTGGTATGAAGCATACCAACGTAGACATTACTCTAAAGTAGACTATCTGATCAATGGAATGTACAACTAAATGACATGATCACATGAGTTAATCATGAGGCAGCAATACTATGTTAATAGCAATAATGATAAATAATTTGGACTTGACATGTTAAACTTAACTGTTGGTTTGAAATTCACTTGAACACATTTTTCTTTTCATAAACTTACATAAAGAAATGTTTAACCAGCCAAAAATCTTTCAATGATCAATTTTCTTAACTTTAGTGTAGCTTCATTAAAATAAAATACTTCACTTCAGATTTCCATTGCGCTTATGAAATTGTTTTCCTTTCCATGTTTGCACAAGGATGTGCAACTGGTGAGAAATAGTGTTCGTGTTAATTTCGCTAAAGGCAGACTTTAAGTAAGATGATTAACCATGATTAGAAAAACATTTATTGTCATACCTCTGTCTTGAATGCCCTATTTTCATTGGCCTAGAACGATCACGTGTTAAATGTATAAAAAGTCATGGCACACTCCTTGTGGGATATCACGCATGTGATATCCCACAAGGAGTGTGCTATGACTTTTGTACATCTGGTGTGAAACGCTTGTATCTTCGGTACCCATCCTATTTTCACCATGTTTTCACACATGAGTGGGAGCAGCAAACTAGCAGACGATTAGCTGTTTCGAGCACGTTTCGAGCACGTGACATGCATGTGAGTTGGCGTTCGATTGTCACGATTGTTGTGTTTACTGCTGTTTGTTTTGATTTTTACATCAGAATCCAAGACGGAGGTATAAAGAAACAATTATTGACTGCTGTGATGTGGGATATGACATTTTTAACACCCTCGGGGCGCATAGCACCCTCGGGTGTTCAAAACGTCATATCCCACATCGCAGCGGTCAATAATTGCTAAATATCACTAAACATTCCATATATGGATTATTTTGATAGAATGGAATACCAGAGACTTGTGTATTTTTGTGACGTATCTGAACTGTCAAATATGACAATCGGTTCAGTAGAACAGTTTCACCTGGTCGTTTTGTTCTTGTTTTGTCAGACGTAGAGTCGGAGTAGAATGTAGGGTTTATCTAAATATTAAAATGATTGATATGTACTTCAGAAAGATTTGTGTGTATATATATTAGCAGTATTTAGTTAAGTATTTACGTAAATTCTTAATGTTGCTATTTTATAGTGTGTAAATTTTGTAGAAAATTGACATATTGTATGCCTTTTTTCAAATTTTCTTTGTGGACAGTTTTATTGTTTAGTACTTGACTTATTTTAATTTTCATTATTTATTCTTGTAGTATATGGTCATCTGACTTTGTCTGTTTGAGGTCACATTCTTTTGTATTCATGTGGTGTTTAGACAATATATTTTTCTTCAAATTACTTGATTTAAATTTTATAAGTGATTTTGGAATAAGGTCACAAATTTCTATATTGCATAATGCAAGATATTCAATATTGATAAATAAGTGCAATTATGGAGTTAAATTTTTAGGAATCTGTGAATATAAAATGATTGCAAAAATTGTTTATTTACTTTACCAAAAATCTGTATTTCTTTAAATGAATTAAATATGGGATTAGAATGGTGTAGCATTGGTGAAACTACCAAATAAATTTTAAAAAAACCTACACCTGTCCAAATATTAATCTCTTTGATATTTGAATCTACAAAATGTGTTATTTTCTTGCATTTTCTTAATTTGGTTGAAAAGTAGTTGAAAGTACATGAATTAAAACTTTTCTTAAGAAATCAAACATCCTGGGCAGGTAAAACAAGAAGAGAAATATTGCAAGGGGTTCACCTAATATTTGAAATTAAATTTGGTGATAAACGAACTTCTCTCTAAACAATACAGAAATGCCTGTTGATGCAAGAGGAGCATCAATCAGTATTCAGACGGCCATAATTTTGAAGATGTAAGATTAGCTTCCGATTTATTGAGGAAAAACTTATTTTTTTACACATTTTACCACAAATTTGTCCAGATATCAAGCTTGAATGTGTTTTCTGCCGTTTAGGAATATTACTTGCGCAAGGTTCAAGCCAAAAAAGAACTTGCAAGGGCTTAACCTTAAATTTTGAATTTAATTTGCACAAATACTGACTAGTCTCCAACATCTCACTTTTTTTTTTGGCTCAGATTATTCATAGATTTATGATTTAAAATCCGTGAGTCAATCATCACTGCCAAAGTTTTGGGGGGATTTTTTTTTGGGGGGGGGGCGAGTCATGTCTATTTATGTTTTGTTTTTCTTTGGTCCTTTGTTTTTTTGTTGAATTTTTTTTTCTTTTATGTTCTGTTCTATTGGTTTTCTTCCTGTTCGTGATCTTGTTCATCTTTTTTTTCTTCTCTCTTTTTTTTCTTCACTTGGGATGGGTTTTCGGGAGAGGCTCTGCTTTGAGTTTCCTATTCAGCCGAGTGAAACTCAAGGAAGCTTGACCCACATCAGAGGTGGATGTTGCAGGATACACATCCAGAGCAAGTCGTCACAGGAAGCCCCACAGACATTTTTCATTTTTTGCCCTTGTCTGCGGCACTGCTGTAACATCTTGGTGATCTTGGATTGGTGCTTGGGTCCATTGATGGTCGGCACTGCAGAGATCTCCAGTCAGTGATGAAGCCTGATGGAGCACTCAGTAAAGCCAACAATCTCAACTGCTCAGCAATCTCAACTATACAGATCGGATGGAACGATGCTTGGCTCTTCCTTAACATTCCCCTTGTATTCATGCTGGCAACATCAACTAGATTATAGATTTTCTTCCAGCGTGCCATGGACTGTTGGCTGCGTGTGTCTTAGGAATGAAGCTGGCTTAGGAATGAAGCTGGTCAGCTTTATTGATGCTGCCCAGGAACTGAGTGGGAGAAGGAGCTGGAATGTCCATCTTGCTGGACTCCCTGGCCATCATCTGCATGTGGCAATACCAGGTTTGGTTGACATCTTGATTGGTGCTTTAAGTCATCTGGTAGGCCTTTTGAAGACCTTTATTGGTACATGTAGCTAGGTGCTCTCATCACACAGCTCGGAGGCGAGGCTACTGATGTGTACAGCTGGAGGTAACATCCATCATCTTCATGGAGATTGGAGATGTCCATCTTTTGGTTGGGTCAGCAAGAGAGATCTTCACATAGGTAACAACGATTAAGAGTTCAGTTTCATATGACATTTATTTTGTTCCATATTTCTTGTATTAAAAACATGTTGTGAGGACCCCTTAAGCAAGCGAACAAGTAAGTAAGCAAGTTAAATTTGTTCAAGTGGTTACATGTTTTAAATTGCTTGAAGCATTTAATTGAACTAGAAGTCAAAACAGGAAGAGATATATCATGGGCCAGAGTTGTCACAGATTGGTATTGCAGCATTAGAATAGGCCACTGGAAACTGGTAAAACTACCTCCAGATCTCTCATCTCACCAGGCCTCTCGTTTGACTAACTTGTCGGCCTGGCTGGGTTCAAATTCTAGAGATTCTATGCACTACTCAGAAGGTCAAGTTTAATGAGTCAAGGAGTATATAACTCATTAGTACAACTTCATAAAATCTGTGAATGTAATTTTGGAGAGTAGGAAAAATCAAAATTAAAACAATTGGTTTTTGGTATAAATGGAACATTTTGAATAGGGAAGATGAGGGTTCAAAATTTCAGGGAATACAACTTTTCACAATCATCCCAAAAGAAAGAGATAGAACCTGTAAAATGATTAATTATTTCAAGTGAAAATTGATTCCTGTTTTTAGGAGTCTGTGGCTACCAAAAACAAAAGTGGAAAAGTGCAGTTTTACATGAACACACTGTTTGAGTAAATGAAGCAGAACATTTGTTTTGACCGGATAATTAGTATAAATTGGTGCAAAAGAAGGATTCATAGAATCAAATCACTCATTCAGTAGTTTTGTTTTTAAATGTCTGAATACAAAGTTCCCCGACCATAATCAAAATGTGTTATACAGTACTGATGTAAGGCACAAGATTACAATAATTATTGTTGTAGATCACTGGACACCACATATAATTGATAAAAAAATGATCTATTTAAATCACTCCAAATTTTGATAAACAGAGAACACTTAAATCAACAGCCATCTGAATCTTTCTGAATAAATAGATGATATAAAATCATTATATCCTCAATCATCTTGAGAGTCAATGACACCATTTCCCAAAATTAATCTGAATATTTAATGTAATGAATACTGTTGTATATTTCCTATGATTAAAAAAGAAGATCCAACATAAAAAAGACACAATATACAATTTTGATGAGAAATACTGCTGGTAAATGCATACATATGTATTATATATAAATAAATTCTAGTTAAAAATAAAAATAGAGGAATTATTCACATTGGAAGGGGCATGTTGGTTGTCTTGGATATGTGTCAGTTACACAGCCTCGGTATGTACTGTCCAATTGCACAATGGTGTCACTTGTCCAAGCAAGAAATGTGATTTTCATGTGAGAAAAGAGACCAGTTTTGTCTGAAAGTAAAAGGCTCTAAGCCGATATGATTTTTCACGTTCAATTTGCACTACATTGAAGAATAATATATCAATTTTGTCAGTCCTTTTTGTCTTATGCACGTCAGTTATTGTATTGTAACTAAGCATGTACTGTGTGCTTCCTGTCCGTGGTCAGTCAGTTGTCAGTCTGTCTGAGTGCCTTTCCATCCTTGTTAATCTGTCTGTCCGTTCATTGCAAGTCAACATCCTTTTTTTGTCAATTCCTGAATGAATGAATAAATATCACTGTTCTTTTAGTCTCATGCATTTTGGCCAGTGAATATTATCTGTGGTTCTGTCAGTCAGTCAGTCAGTCATCTGTCAGTCAGTTGGTTTGTTTGTCTGTCCATCAGTCTGTGTGTTTGTCATTTCTATCTCCTCAGACTATTTGAACATACATGTAGTCTGAAATTTAAACTATAACTTTACAATTGTAAAAATTGTCTCTATTTTTGAAATCTTTTAAGTGTTACCTATATTTTGAAATTGAACATCCCCAATCAACATTTCCTGACTGTCCTCCTTTTATGCTATGTCATTTGTTAGTCCATCCGTCCCTTTGATTGTCTGTCAGTATTTTTTAAAAACTCTTTTGTCTTTGCCATTTTTCTATATGTCCATCAATGGTAACAAAACCTGAGCAATATTTTATTGTCAGAAATATATGTGTTGTTTCTCGTTCCTGATAAATAAAAAAAAAAAAACAGATTCAGCGAACAGACTCTATATGTGAGACTGTGCAGGCTCCAATCGTGGACTGTCCTGTCCACCGTTCTGTTCCTCAAGCTTTTTAGCCACTGTACTGAGGAGCTTCAAACATCCATCAAGTTTGGAGTCCATTACATACATCTGCAGATGACAAACGAATATTCTCCACAATCAAAATTCATTGGATAACTATTGAAATGGATAATATAATGGCTTGTTTTTAATTAAAAATAAACCTTGAAAATTGAAATGCTAGTTTCAGATTTAGCAAGTCACATGTTAAACAAGTAAAGAGAACCATTTCTTGTACCTGATTCTCCATCATAGACATCCGTGCCAAAATGGTCTGTTTCCGTTTGTCAACTGTGTAAAAAAAAATTAAAAATGCAAGAACAATCGTTAAGGAGCGTAACCCAAAAATCTAAATGAAGAATGGTCTCTGTACAAACCAGACAGTTTTAACAGCCCACCCCCCCCCACACACACACAATTCCTGATAACTCTCCATTAGATTTGCAAATTTCATGCGTATAATGTTCCAACTTATCATGCATTAGTGTGAACTGATGTAATTGAAAGTCACTGGACGGTCAGGGAAATAGAAATGAAGGCATTAGGGACGGATGAAGAAGTCTATCTTGACATGAAATTATAGTGTTTAAATTGTTTTCATCAAAAGGCTGATTCACAAAATATACTGCATCTCTGCCACTCCCCTTCCCTAACTGAACAGGGATGTTAATGATTAAGAACAAAGCAGGATGCTCCAAGATGATCCCTACATCATTTCTGCCTTCTGCATGCCATTTTAACATTCCTCCCTCTGGGCATGTCTTGTGAGATACAAATGTTCCTTAGATAAGAGTTACTTCATACTTGTAAGGTATGCTCCAGGTTTGCCAACAGTCTGGTCCAGTCGTCGCTGTAGTTCCTTGATGCGCACCATCATGTTCATATGTCCCTGAGAATATTGTTCAATAACGTCTCGGACGTCTATTGGCTTTCTTGCTTGCTATTAGTTCAAAGAGACAAGACAGAGATGAAACCTGCTATATCTGTTAATGATGTACTACATTTGTATATCATCCCAGCTGAATGTCAGATTGTTAACTTCCATCTGTCGGCATGGAAACTACACTCCAGAACCATTATTCAAAATACTAAAATACAATTCAGAAGACCATAAGAAAACTAAACAAACTTCTTTGTTTTGATAGATTTTTGGCCTCTTAACAGAATTCTCAGCTATTTTCTTGAAGAAACTGTTCTGAATGAAGACCAAGCCACTCACCTGGAATTTTTTGCGAGCTACCAAGTACTGAATGCGTCGGATTGCTCGGATGGCTATTTTGTGTGTTGGTGTTAGGCTGCATACAAAAACAAGTAAGTCCATTTACATGTATAAATTACCGGTAAGTCAATAGTCAAACTGAAATCAATAATCAATGCAATGATCAATGGTATGTGAAGGGCAAGTGCTAAAGCTCCTGCACTTGATTAATTTTTGTTTTCATTATTATATAATTGGTCAGCATAGAGGTCGATAGGCATGCCCTTCAGGTGAAGACTCTGGAGAATACTTGGAGATGACTTACCTAGTTACTGTTTCAGGAACATAGGCAAAGCTAAAGATGTCACTCTCAGGATCTGGTAGATCCATTGAGAACATTTCTGATAGACGCTGGAGTGGCCGGTACCTCTCACTAGGCTCACGGTCACCGTCTAAACGTCTCCTATTCAGCCTATCAAAGACACCTGGTATGATAAAAGCACAGAAATTGAGATGTTGGGGAGGGCGATGGATGGGTTATGGGTTCCTGGGTGTCTAACACCGCGTTCCCACTTGAATTGGAAAAAGGTGGATCAAGATCCGGCATTTTGGTGTGATCGTTATCTTACCGCAACGAAACCGCAAGTCGCGTTCCCACTTATGCTTGATCCACCTTTTCGTACGGAAATGTTGGGTCCGAAAGGGCACTGGGTTCGGAATTACGCGCGCTCTGTGGGAGTGCCATTGTTGCATGGTTGCATGCTAGGCCAGGATGGGTCAGTTTTAAAACAGCACTATCAGAATTCACAGACAAAAAATTACGCGAATTCACCAACATAAATCACGGATCCGTAGAGGATCCGTGCGTGCATAAATTAAAAGGTGAAATCCAACAGAGCCGCTCACGTGTGACATCACGGCAGAAACCAATGCATCGATAAGGGATTCCCTGGTTCTGAAGCTTCTCATTGGTTAGAAACGGTCACATGATGTACTACGACATCATTTTCCAATTTTCTATAATCAATACTTCAGATGTGTCACCTCCGTACGTACCGCGTTATCGGCACTATTCTCATCGCATACTCGTAAGCTTTTCAATGATTCTGTGCCAAAGTGAAGTCTTTTGGTGAGTGCGGACTCAGAGTCATTTATGGATGGAAAAATAAGTAAAATTTCAGGAATGAAAAAGGTTTAGTAATGGACGAACACGCAACAAAAATAAGGCCTATAGTGTAGTTTTAGGATACCACGTGCGCTTTTGCATGCGCGGTGCTAGCCCGTAGTTCAGCGGTTGTTTATTGTGCATGTTGTATACGCTGGAAATGTACACATGAGCTACACGCCTGAAAACGTGTTTCTTCATTCATGAGACCGCAACATTTTCGCGCCACTTGTGCACCGGGCGGATGTTAACAGGTCAAATTGCCGGATCAGATCCACCTTTTGCGTTCCCATCTGATCGTGATCCGGCAATTGCCGGATCTGATCCACCAATTGGGGGATCTGTATCCTGGTCCAGAGGTGGATCAGAAAAGGTGGATCTGATCCTGATCCACCTTATAACGGTTAGCGTTCCCACTACACACAATTGCCGGAACTGATCCACCAATTGGGGGATCTGATCCGGCAATTTGGCAAAAGGTGGATCAGATCCCCCAATTGGTGGATCAAGTGGGAACGGGGTCTTACTGGAGATAACATAAAGTCCTAAGCCTCTTGTCCAAGGAGGTGATTGATGGAGGTGACGGAGGTGTATTGAAGTGATCAAAGTTAAATTGACACTTTCAGTTGGAATACAATTTTTGAAAGTATGTTTTTGGTCAATATACAAAGAAATAAACAAATCCAAAACAATTATGCTGACATCATTAACGGAATAGAAGTTTGGGAGAAAAATACAAGAGAATGACAGGTATATGTATGATATCTCATGGGTCTCAAGAAACATTTCTTTTTGTGACTTACTTGAGGGATCCTCACTGAAGACTGTATCATTCACTCCCGTAGTTTTCTCAGGAGAAGACTTGCTTGGGATAAACTCCAGTAACGTCGATTGTACTAAGGCTTCCTTCAGCTTAGAATTCTTACGTTTCTTCAGCAGATGAGTCTTGTTAACAAAAGCTGGGGTACTTGGAGCAGTTGGGGTAGCGGTACTGTTGGCATTGGGAGGGGCAATGTGGATCTTCCAGGTGGCTTCCGAAATAAAGTCTGTGGTGCTCTCTGCAGCATGACATCTCCATGCACACTGCAAGAAAATAGCAATGAAATATACATTGCAATGGACCACGAGAGGAGGATCATCTCCTCTGAGCAGCATCGGTTGAGGGCGCTGTTTAGTTAAACGATGGGAGCTCTATTTGACAAGTTAATTGCACTGGCTCAAAAGGTACACTCATGCAAGTGTCAGATTTCAGTAAAATTACTGTTAAACTAAAGCATCCTTCAAACATTTGTTTTGAATTGCAAGGCCACGAAAATAAAGGAAATAGCATTTTACTATGCAATCCTTTCTGTATAGAATTGTTTAGTTTAAGTCAATAAACCATTTAATGTATATGAACACTCATAGCATTAAAAAGCAAATACACTTTAAAGAAGCAGGATAGTTTGCTTTTACAAGTCACAATAATCACCTGTATTAGTCTTGCAGCAGCTGGAATCTGACGACTAAAATGCTTCTGTCTTTGCTTGTGTTGCACCTTTAAGGCAAATCCAGACCCTAAAATACCCTGCAAGTATACAACAAGCCACTGCTGGTTAAAAACAATGCGTGCAAATGAAAAAAAAAACAATTGCGCGACTAATTCCCGAAATATTTGAAAATCAGGTTAGCACAAAAATTAGTCACCTCTAAAAAGTACACTGTTTCTCCCCCCGAAAAGACGAAAGACGACAACATAATCTTACCACATATGTAATTTTTTCTATCAGCCAAAAAAATGTACACATGACATTTCTCTAACACTTTAGCTCAATAAAAATACTACTCAAACTTTTTTCCCACATTATACTTACTGAGGGAAGAGCAAAGAACGAAATGGAAAATATTGAAAAACATGAGGCGATGATTTTCCCTAGCCACGTAATGGGAACTTTATCTCCGTATCCAATTGTTGTTAAAGTTACCTGCATCAATAAAGAACAGAGTCAGAAAAATGGCTGAATATGAGTAAGAGGCTGAATGTGATGACATAAATGCACATGGAAAACTTGACCTTTTTAACCAATTTTGGGGCATTTTAAATCTGCAAGGTTACCCAAAAGCAAACCAAAAAAACATTCAACAGGAGCCCAAGGTACATGTAAGCTCAGGGCGCTGGGAAGGACTAACTTCTTCTGGATCGATGTATGACGTGCACACAGAATGCGGTAAATGCATTTGATGAGGCAGTTAGCTCCACCCCCCCCCCCCCCAATGCTTTGTGCGACTGTGCTTCCTTCACAAAATTTTGTGGAGATTAGCCCTTCCCAGTACCCTGTTTGGGCAGGGGTACAAAGAGCTCGAGGAAGACTTTTCTTCAATACATGATGGAGTTATCCTTACAATAAAAAACCTGCACAATCAAACAGATGCAAACAGGTGGGAAAATGTTTTCACTTGTTTTCCATTAAGATTCAACTTCTGAAACCTTCCCATTGTTTGCATTTGTAGATTCAAACCAAACAGCCTTTCACAATTAAAGAAAATAGTGCAGTTCAGTCGATTGCATTAATTTAGTGCAAGTTGTTGAGCTTTTTACTTTCATTTTTTTGGGGGGGGGGGGGGTGGTGTTGGTACGAGGTACAGGAGAGGGAGTGAGCAAGAAGTGGAAGGACTTACCACACCCCACCATAAGGCATCTGCATAGGTTTCAAATTGCTTTCTGCCTCTCTCATCCTGGTTGTCACGCTCAGCCAGGTAGACAAAATACGAGACGAAGATCAGCATCAAGAATCCAATGTACAAAGTTGTAATCAGCTCCTACCACACCAAATGAAAAAGGGGAAATAATAGCAAATCTGGCTTCAGAAAAGGCGTCTTGTTCACTGAATAAATTTAGTTGAAAGCTGAAACTTTTCAACTGTTATCAAGTTGATATAATTCTGAACTGATACAATAAATTCAAGTATCAAGGGTCTTGGTCCAAACAGAATTATTCTTTTTATTTTAAATGATATAATGAATTATTTCTGGAGAGTTGGCAACAAAATATGTAACCCACAAAATACTGAAAGAAAGGTTTTGCCCTTTAACCCTAAAAAGAATTGTCACTGGTAACTTTTGTTGTACACATGAAACAGTACTTGCATTACTTGTTTTCTTGAGGACAGCCCTTAAGAAGCTTTGTATTAAACACTGTGCACTTCTTCACCTCATACAATCAAGTACTTAATATCACCTCATAAAACTGACACCTCAAAAACTGACACCTCATAAAACTGACACCTCATAAAACGTATGCTGAACGTGACTGAACTCAGCTACTCATGTTGAACTTATGACTTTATCTACACACTATGAATTTTTCATGGTGATGGCAGAGTCTGTTTGTATTCATTAATTGGGCCGTGCTCGTATACCTGTCTGTGTATAAAAACCACCGAGCCGAGGAGTTTCCAAGTGCCACCTTGGCGGTCCATATGAAGCATGCGAAGAATCTGAAGACATCGAACACCTCTGGATACAAAAAGACAGAGCATTTCAAGTTGACATTATCTGTACCTTTGGGGTGAAACGCAAATGGCAATTTATACAAAATCCTGAACACAAGGAGTAAATCAGAATGATTGGAACAAAAGCAATACGTCAGAAAATAGGGAAGACAAGTCTGGCAGTAAATCCATATTCAATATACCAACACAATGGCAACATTGGTACGTAAAACAGATGAACTAAAATGGTTGGCACAGACAATTTAAAAATAAATAAATAAAAGGCATGTACAGAGAAAAATTGGCCACTTGACAATTAAAAAAAAATTAGAATAACTCATAAACTGATGGCGTTAGTGGATTAACGTGCAATATGGCCCATTACTGTCAAGGCTGCCTACACTTTGAAGAGGCTAGCTACCTTTAATGGTCACAAATGGCCATCGGTGTTAATTCAAAGGATTATTACATTCCCATACAAAACATTTCTATAATTCCAACACAGGCAGGTATCATTCTACTACGGAGCCCTAGCCCCAACCTAAATAATAACATGTCTGTGATCCAATTTTTAATATATATTTTGTACACATCCATGTTCACTCACTGGAACCATCCTTATATAATATTCAAAAAAGGATGTGAATGAACTTGTGATTGTCCAATCATGTCTGCAATGCGGTGCACATTTTGGTTAATCATAATCACAACTGCCCAATCAGCTCTTCTATGCAAATGATCTGAAGTCACAGCTACCAACCAATCACAAATATGTGTGGTAATGAGTCAACTATTGTCCAATCAACTCTCACCTTATAGCCGAGGCAGCAAAGACGTGGCCCTCAGAACCAAAACAAAGCACAGCAGCGGATGCAACAACAACGATTAAATCTGAAAGACAGAAAACAACAAGATCAATAAAAAAACTGCCCACAGAATAAAGGGCACTGGAGCCTTAAAGGGCTGGTATACTGGTAAATCACTAGTGAAGAATCAGTTTAACCCCTTAGTACAAATACCTGGAAATGCTACTGTTCTGCACCATATACTTCTGCAAACACTGAAGACGCCACCCGACAGTGAAACCTTATCCAAGACTTCATTTCAAACTTGTCATCATTATTTTCAACTTTTCATCCTTGAGAGAGTACTGCACTGTTTACATGACCTATGTGTACCAAAACACAAGGGCATTAGATTACCCAGTTAATAAAAAACTGTCTGGTAGGGATGTTCTGGGATAATAACTTTCATCCTGAAGGGAAGACCATATTTGCTTGATATCACGTTTCTCAGACAGTAACACTCCAAGTGTCAAGCAAAGTTCCAGAGTTGGGTTACAAGTTTTGATGGTTATACATAATCTCCATTATTTACGGCGCCCAGACAGTATCATGATTCAGCCGACGAGATGTGTTAAATTGTCACATGTATCTTCCTCGAGCAGCTATGATCAAATTGATGTGGAAACTACTACAAACTTAATAGTCAATTTAAAAAGAGCCAACTACACAAGTCAGAGTTTAAATCTTTAGATTAGAATAAATTCTGAAGTCACAGACTTATTATCTGACAGGGACATTAGGTGGATCAAGGAAAGAGAGGGACAGCATCTAACAAAAAGAAACGATGCCATTGAGAGGATTAGCGCAACATCATTCTTTTGACCAGTCTTCGCTTTACAGCGCCCTCTATGATCAATGCTTTGAAATAAAAGATGGACAGTTTGTAAATCTGCCATAAATCCAGCTCTTCATATAACCATGCATGTCTGGTTCATATGACTGAATGAATGCAATACTGAATGGAATAGTTGATGACGGATGAAATGAGGGCAAAAGTTCAATACAAATCTCTGTGTGTGTCTATGCTAGCTTAATCCACGCTCACTTGATTTGGGCATGCAGGCTACCGTAGCCTACCTCCCCCAAACTAAAAATATAATTCTAGGATTAACGAGCACTTTAATCTTCTTGACATATAATACTGTCATATTATGTACTGCCCCGGGTAGCCACAGTGATAAACCCAATGGACTCAACAAGGCTTTTGTAATCATATACCAGATAGAGACACTAGACACCCTTAGAACCCGCCTGCAAAATAACTGATCAGTTGACATGAGTTCAGAGGCGGCACACGCACGGTCGGGACGGCTTTGAGCGATTCAAAAGAGCGTGATACACAATTTGACAAATACTGCCCTGAGCCCTGACCAACGCTTAAGTGAATTAAACGGCAAGACACAGCTTGTCAGGCAAATTATCAAATAAATGGCTGATGCACTTTAGAGCCAAGCTCTACAGAAAAAAATATCATATGCACAATTCTAATGTACAACTACACTGGACACAGACTGTGCAGACGTTGTGCATTAAACTCAAAATTTCATTGATGAATTAGTAATTCTGAGCTGTGTAAAGGGATTAAGAGAAACCTCATAAATTTTCTAATGGGTTCAATGCTCTTTACTTGTTTTGGTAGTATTCATTCCTTACTTTGATTTGTTTATTTCATTCATCACTATGAATTACTTTTACTGTGTCAACAATTCTGTGTAATAAACGTAGGTGAACATGTCTTTTCTGTCAGGTTTCTTGAAGAAACTAAAGAGGAAACTAGGCATTAAAGCCCCAACCTAGCATAAAATACTCATGATTACAGTCAGTCAAATCAAGTGGTGTAACTAAGGACTGCTCAGGATTTGACAGAGGCAAAAATGAGCTTTTTTTAAGTGTTAAAAACATGTTGAGAGCTCCCTCTTGAAAATAAGACCTCTGCAAATTTGACCCCAGTTACGCCACTGGCCAAATCTGGTAAACTGGTCACGACCAACAGCACAAAAACAGGAAGATACATTGTTAGTTAGAGTCTTCTATCCTGACCAAATTGACTGCCCCACCCCCACACTAAAAGCAGACCAGTTTTTGATGAATATAAATGCATTCATTTATCATCAGGTACATAAAGGTCAGAAAAAAAGGACCACATCGAAAGGGTTGATCAGTCACTTAAATTATGCGGTCATCAAACCCTAACTATGCCATTCAGAAATATAGGCAAAAACTGGCTTTCATCTCTGCTGATGATAAACTGGTTTTCAAGAGGAACTAAACAAAAACCATTGTTCAATTAATTAACCAATTTCTAATACTTCACAATTAATTTCATAGCTAGCTTGATACTCATACATTGTATCAAATAGAGAACAAATTTAGTATTTCAATGTTTATATTCCGAATAAATGTTACACTCAGTTTGGTTAAATTTTTACGAAGAGAACTCTACATGCAGTCTTTTGGAAAGACAACAAATTGTTTTATTTTTCCTGGTTTGCTTAGCAAGTTATTTAATTGCAGGGTTTTTGCTATTTGCTCGTAGCTTTGGTAAAAGATTGAGGATCGAAAGAGGTTTTGTTAATGAGGTAACATTATAGAGAGGAACAGTTCCCGTAATATGCCTTGGTGAGGATGGACTTACCGTGGCCCGGATTGAAAAGAATCCAAGCTTTTATTTTCACCAACTGAAAACATTTCACCCTAAAAGTGTTTATCATCAAATATGCCATTCAGAAAAATAGGCAAAAGCTGGCTTTCATCTCTGCTGATGATACAATGGCTTTCAAGAGGGATTTCAGAGGGAGCTATGTATATGAAAGCCGTTATCAAATTAATTAGTTCCCAAAACAATGTCACGGCTAACTTGATGTTCATTTCACATACATGTAGAGAGCAAGAAGTATTTTAATGTTATAACTTCCTATGAATGTTACACTAAATTTGGTTACATCGACACACCTTTTTAACTCGTTATAGCCCTTTCCATCTGGAAGCAATCTTATCTCCATCAGTCCAGACATTCCGATGACATGATGGTCAGACTTCAAGTGTGAATAGTGGAGACAGTGATTTTTAACATTCAGATAATGACGTAGTCCCTCAGGGTTTAGTGTCTGCAGGGTTAGAATATCCTGAATTCAACACCCAACCCCCCTGGAGGAAGGAACCATGCATATTTATGATAATGCATTGATCATGAGGAGCATACCCAACACTTTCAAATCATCAATTCTGGCTATAGAGGCTCACACTTATACCACCAACTGCTTGACATTTGATATGGTTTTGCAAAACGACATTAAAATTTGTTAAGGGAATGTACAATACATCCCTGTTGTTATACATTCAGAAGATGATAATAGTTATAACTTTGACTGTATAGTTGGATATTATCAGGCTCATTGTGTCTTCTATTAAGAAGAAATGTAGTTTGTGGGATTTTGGGGTTGGATTTTACTCCAACTCCTCCAGATAACAACAAAGTATGACTGGAGATAATACCAATTGTTCAAACACTAAATTTATTATGAGTGAACTTTTCAAAGACCATCTTTAAAAAAAATCATATCAGTGCTTAAAAGAAAGTCTTGAGAATTTCAGAAGTAAATCAAATCCAACCAATTAGGGTGGATAAGAGCTATAGAAATTGCAAGAGCAACATTTACAGATGCTACTATGCAAGATACAAGGCCAGCCTTCTTAAAACAGGACATCAGGAGGCAAGTGTGGGACAACATGTGTTCAAATGCACATCTTCAATCAAAGCAACTCTGATGGTAAAACCACAGCTTTCTTCCCCTTACAAACCAATCCCCTTTAAATTCAATCACACTTGACGCATCTGCGCTTGAATTGGCTTGCTCTGATTTCAAGAAACAAATGTCATTCGTTCGAGCAGGAATCCAGACAGATCTCACGTCTTTTGGCCGCCGCTGATCTCTGTATTCCCCAGTCTCGGTCTCATTGCTGGAGTTTTTTGCATCCTTGAGTGGTGATCTGGAATGCTACTTTAGGCTGCTCTGTGTGATGCCGCCAGATTGCTTTGAGATTGTGGAATGATCAAGTTAGGATGAAATAATAGGACTACTAAGCACTGCCACAAGGCCCAAACATGAAACAGAAAATTGTATTTGAATGACGATATTTTATTTTGAATTTGAAGGTGGGCTTGTTCTCTTGGCTATAAAACAAAAGCACCAGAATTCATACTTTTTTAATAGTTTTGTAAAATATACTGGATGAAAATGCACATTCAATGGAAATGGCTTGTGACGTTGCCATGCAACCTGTACCTAGAACTGTATGCCAACTGACAACAGCAAAATTAAAGATATTTCCATGACAATGACGGTCTAAAGAGACCAATTTCAGCAGTGTGATTTGTCCTCAATAGTGTTTCCAATTAGCTGCAGAAACTACGTCTTTAAAGCATTGACATGTTGATTACTATATTTTTATTCATTAATTCTTCATCACAACGGACCTTGACTCGTTTCAATTAACAGCATTTTTAGCCAATTTATATGGTGTCTTTACATCAACGAAACCTTGGGATTCTTAATGAGCAGATATGGAGAACTCCATCCCCTCCCATCCTACTAATTTGTTGAACACGTCTCTCATCACAAACACATACGCCAATATGCTCCAATAAACACGAGCCAGACTTCAAATGAGAAAACTTGAGTCACTTCATACCCAATCAATGCCCAATCAATTACACGCACAATGAACCAGACAACCACAGCCAAAGAAAAACACCATTACATGATTAAGGCGTTTAAGGCGACATTAAGATGTAACCTTGCCTCCACTTTAAGACTGTAATAAGCGCTGATATGGAAGGAGGGTCAGTGCGATTCAATTTTATCACACATGATGCAACGACTGGCTGAATCAATGCGCGGCCGGTGAAGGGAAGGTTGGATACAGAAGGGAGGTCTCTCTCAATGTATCTTTAAAAATTACTACATTTGTACATCTAAAAGTAAATGAAAACAAAATTCTATGTCCCAAATTTGTCACATGTATTTGTTAAAGATAAATCACATTGTGCCTCTTCTACAAATAGAGGCTGAGGCTAATCAAATAGGATGTCAATAATTTACATTTGCATGGGAACAGACACCAAGGTCTCCCATAAAGTTAATCAAGCCAAAAGGCATGAATAATTTGAATATTTAATGTCTGAGAGCACACTGATGGAGCCACAGCATCCACTGAAAACATAAAAGCTACTTCTTTTAACTTTTCCCTCAGAATGCCTCTCTGCAACCCCCTACAACTCCCTACCCTGGTCTGTTTTCCCTTTTACATATAATCTTTGCAAACAGTTATCTTCACTCTAGCCACTGTGACTTCCTTCATTTTTTTCTGTTCTTTCCAGTTTGTATCACAAACCTTGATTGGCTCTTGGCCTTGTGTTTCAGTGATACTCAATAAAAAAAACCCAGTAATACAACTGTAATAATGTCCCTAATAGAAAGGATTCAGTACAAAACATCTTAATCTAACGTGATTTTTTATATACATGCAAGTACTGAATAAAAATGTCTTGTAGAATTGCAGTGATTCCTCACCAATGATCAAGATGGGCTTTCTACCAAACTTGAATCTTCCTCTCAAGCCCTGGTACTGTTGGCGACATCCAGCTGACCACATACGGACGAGATACTCACAGCTGAAGAACATCACTAAAATGATTTCCTGTATAAAATACATGAAAATGAATCCCCACAGGGGTGAATATTAATGAAAAGTGAAAATGTCAAACCACATTAGGGAGCATCTGCATGGTAAATGTCACGACCAACAGGACTTAAAGGTACAATTTTTCTCCCAGACTGATGAACGGGAAAACGGGACTTCCAACGTTGATTTTGCAAATGGTTAATCTTGCCTCGGTGTAAGGTTTAATGATGGGTTATATTTGGGAGGTCATCGGAAGTAACTTGGCTTATTAATCACAGCAAACTGCAAAGACTCTTATTACACTCCAAGTCCAATACTTTCTGAAATGATAGAAGATGAACTCTGATCAGGCAGGAGGGTCAGGTCGAAACAGGCTTCTCGGCTAAGGTTATGTATTATCAGCATGTTCCTATGTAGTTGGACCAAAACCTACACGCAGACAATAGCTCTAGCCTCTAGGCAAGAAATAGCATAACCTTGTAAAAGTAAGTTCAATGAGTGTATAAGTGCATGTACACAATTTTAGGGGATATCCGGTCCACAAGCTTTGCTTATTATGAGAGTTTGGTAATTGCATGTTGTTATTCTTTATGAATTAAATAAGTGGAAAATAAATGAACTGAACTTAACTGTGGCGCCATCTGCCTGTCGCTAACTGAATAGGCAAAACAACTCACATAACACTAGATAACCTTTTACTAGAATGGCAACATGCATTTTTATAATACGAACTAGAAGTAATTAATGTCATATATCCCCTTCCGTTAATACGTTTTATTGATTAATTTAACCATGGTCCAACAAACAAGTCAATTTGCCTGCAAGACTGTACATATGTTGCCTGACAAAATCTTTTGTAACACAGAATATTATACATTAAACGCCTGAGGCACCAAGTGGTTTACAGGGAAATCTATACTTAGACGAAGCACTAAAATTTAATCAGGTACATGTAATTTGGCACTGTTCACTCCACAAGAACTGTTGGTCATCCTTCATTTTCCCCTCCATACATACCTATCCCTTTTCCTTACCCAGTGAAATTGTTTGATACTTCTAGATCTTGATTTTGCCAAAGGCAACTCAACACCCATTTTGATTGCTTGTAAGGACTGCAGCTCCATTGCCCTTTCTTTTTCTTTTTTGATGTAAAATCACCAGCACGAACCAAATTTTGCATAATTTCCCAAAGGAATTGCAACTTGATGTGTAGCAATTATCATGATTTTACCCCAAGCAATAGTTTTGCACACCTTTGATTAACAGGTAAGAGGAGAGTAAACTCTCAAATAGAGGTGGAAACGACAGAAGATATACTTTTTGAGAAAAGTAAGTAAACAATTTCTGACAAAATCAGTTTAATGAACTGAAACAAAAATGAAGTACATGAATCATGTACACACCAAGTCCATTGCAATGTAAGCAAATGTTCATGAACTACCGTATCTGACAGAATGATATGCAAAGCTTTTTCACAAAAATACAAAAATAGTCTTGGAGATTGGAAGTGAATTTTTTTTTGGCTTTTGGGGGAAAGCGTGAGGATAGAAGGCTGCAATTTCCTCTCCCCAAAATATATCTATTGACACTGTAGAGTCTTAAGACGAGGAGCATACTGACCATGTAAAACAAGACCCCTTCAGCAAATTGACAGGAAGGTATAGTAGACAGTACGCTGAAGATTAGACAGGCTAACACAGTGCTAAATCTGTAGCAAAAAAAAAACCAAATAGGAAAAGGAGGAAAGATTAATATAATGTCAGTATTGTGATTGATTATGAATGAATGATTGCTCACAAACCAATAAAAATAAGAAAACAGTGAAAAACTTGTTTACAAGTGCCTGGAAACATCTTTGGCAGTCAAGTACAAAGTGCTGAGAAGGAAGACAGGTCTAATAACAAGGGCGTGTACTGCAACACATTACCTACAGTCCATCCAAATTAATATCTTGCAGTTTACGCAAATTTGTCACTTATTTAATTAAATTTTCTGGTTAAAAAAAAAATGACTTCGTGACTCAACTGAGACATCCACTTGCTGACTCGTGATATGGACTTGGACTGGACCCAATTAAGTGATTCTGTTCTAATTTTATGATCAAGCACTTTAATACATGACGTTTAAAATGTTCATTTTTCATCATCCATGCAGTGATGCAAGGAAATATGCTCATCACAGTAATCTGGGCAGAAGATTGCCCTCCCCATTTGCCCTCCATAAAATGCTCATAACGGAAATTTAGTTAAAATGAACTCAAAAGGAATTCTCCACATCTGCCTTGATACGCTTCAATTTTATATACCTGACAATGACTAACTTTTCAGGTAATATTACAATCCAAGTTAATCTCATCATCAGGCCTAAACTTTTACATTAACAGCAGGTCATGCACTATACAGTGTTTGTTATTCTAGCTGTGGTATTTTCCATCTGACTTGCTGTGAGTTTAATTCTTGCGTTAATGTTTGACGGCATTTCCGCATGGGACACAATCAATTATTTTTCCATTAAAAAAGGGGTTATCGTTTGAACAGCTGTACGCAATACATCATGTCTGTTTATGTAATGTGTCTGCGTCAAAATTCAACTAATGTCAGTGATCCGATGATTCTTGATATGACATTATCTACAGGTGCCTATGAGGATCATGCATACCGGTACATACCGGGTTACTTGCAGAAATAGAATGGGTAAGAAGTCAACCAAATCGACTTCTGGAAATGAGACTAAGAAGTTCAAGCAACATACTCCCTGGTACAGCTTTTCAAATGAATTTGGTGAACACAAAAGTGTTTTTAACAACTTACTGTTTTGGACTTTTTTAATGTGGGGGTGGGAAATAAGGAAATTCACCAAAATATCATTTTATTTTTAGAATATATTTTTAAAATATCATCTACCATAAAGAAAATGTCCATTGTCAGTAGACATTTTAAAGATTTTTAAAACTGGGGGAATTGCACTAAATCGTAAAAAAAAATCTGTGAAATTTAAAGTTAATACCCCTGCCAAAACAAAACGCACTTGCTGCAGAATTGTGCTTATTTTCCAACACAATCTGTGTACATGTAGTTCTATTGCATCATGTATTGGAAGCTAATGACCTCATCATTAAGTTACTCCATGACATCCTGCAGATTGACGCTGTGCTAATGCTTACGTGCTGGAATTCTTTCCCCTGGTTTTCGAGTACTCTATCGTACTTACATGTAGGCGGATCCCTCATGTACATTGCTGCACACAGTTTCAACACACGTATGAGTTACATGTACACGTACTCTGGTATGTAGATAAAGTGTGCCCTGACATTTACCACGGTACGGATGAACATGTTGGATTTGTTTTTAACATTCATTGATCATTGAATTACATCTGAGATTTACAGGTAATGGGACATCAAATGACACGTAAAATAAGCATTTTGATAGAAACTGACAGTAACGAGTGTCAGAATAAGAATGAGATTGGTGTATGCAATCCTCGTTCATTGAAATTTGTAACATGCTTATATTTGATGTCTTTCACCAGTCTAAGGACTGGTTACTGCACTGGTGAAATAACAGGTCTTTACCGTGCATCCTGTATTAAAAGATCTTACGCTGTCTGATGTCTGTCTGTCTGTCTGTCTGTCTGTCTGTCTGTCTGTCTGAGTGTCACGTTTTTTTGTAAAAAGCCTAAGGAGTGTGCGGAAACACAAAATGCAAGGGTTTATGGAGAGACTCATGTTACATGTATAGCTTCATGGTTGTATATTGCCCCCATTTCACTGTCCTTTGAAATTGAAGTCAAGATTGGCACATGCAAAAAATTATTTATTTGTTTTGTTTTGCTTTTTTGGCGAATTTGTTTCTTTTACACTTTGACTTTGAATAGTTAAATATTACAACATTATCTCTATGAAAACACTCCAAAACATTTCAGAAAATGTTCATTCAATGCCAAAATTTAACACACACCTACACGAATATGACTTTAGGATATTATCCTGCAGTGGACAAGTTAATCCCCTTCCTGATGCAATGTCTGCAATTCAAATGACAACCTTACAAACTGGATGCTTCAAGGGGCACAATTATTGTCTGTCATACACGGTAGCAATATGCAGCCAAATGTCACTTCTTGGGCCCAGTAAAACAAAATTCAGGCTTTGTTGAAATCCTGACCATAAACAGGAAAAAAAAAATAAACCTGCAAAAAAGCTCAAACAAATCAACTAAATATATATGTCAAGTGCCTGCATATTTACAAAACAGATCATTTATGGAGGTTGTATTTAAGCACAACCATCATATTTTTCTGTTAAACCCTTGTGATAAAGAACGAGCACAAAGGTGAACTACATATAAATATAAATATAGAGCTTCAAGTACATGAAGTGGTCAATTGCACAGGTATTTTAAAACATTAGAAGCTAGATGACAAGAAATAAATTTGAACTTGAAGTTGAATATGATATTGGAATATTGCTAGGCATAGGGAAAGGAAGTTGGTATCTATAAGGGCTCAGCCCCAACTTTCTGACTAGCACCTCCCCCTTGCCACCCACACCACTAAATGCAGGTTTGCTGTGGGAAATGATCGAACTCTGTCTGAAAGCTGAGATAATAGCGGTTGCTTTTGACATCAGAGCATATATGGGAGCACTTTGATGATTTACGGGTGCATTTTAGCCACTTCATCCCGCTAATTTCGAGCCCAGATGCTTTATATAAAAAGTCAGTCCTAGGACATTATCTATCTTAAAACAAACCTCAGTGGAAATAAACGTTAAAGACTGGCATTGATTGCACAGGTACATACCACAATAAAAAACAATTGTTTTTAATTTGCGATCATTCCATTCAAGCTTGTGTGTCCACTGTTTGGACTGCACTTGTCTTTTTCTGCCTCTCTGGGGATCTGTATGCATTTCTCATGGCAGCTGTGCCAACACAAACTACAAGTCTTACATGTATAATGTAGCACAATCCAACAAGACACAAACTACACAACCTCTTGAATATGATACATGGCAATGTTTCACGTTGACCAAAAAAACTAGCCAAGATTCATGTGCATTGTGCAATCTACGGAAATGTACATTTACGAGTTCTCCTTCGAAATACTATTTCTTTTTTAATTCTTTCCTCTCATCTACTCATCGATGAAAGCTCTGGTCTTGTGCAAACCTGAAGGAGCTACATGTACCTTCTACAAACCAATGAAGTAAACAATATAAATAACCCTAGGCCTAAATAGTTGGTTCTCGTCACCTTGTTATTTATGCTATGGCGGCTTGTATCCTCGAGAAGTGAAATATTTTCAACACGTTTCAGGGACTCTAGACTTCAGGCTCGTTAAGTCTCAATTAGTAGGATCCCAGCAACCCATCCCCTGCTTCCACATTCCACCTGAGTCTGTGTGCCTCACAGAGCAAGGTTCTATAGCCATCAACACCTTCCTCTAACTTGAACCTTCTCTGGTGAATTACATGGGTTCATGCTTCTTATCCCAGGTTGGTTTACATCCCCAGTCGCCCAGATGGTGCCTAGCCTGGGCATCGATGATTCTATGGTCGTGCTTGCTGCGCATTCTAACGACCACCCTGCTGTCGTGACATTTTCGAGTTGGATGGATGTTGTCCCCAAGAACCTCAAATTAAAATCTTAAAGGGACAGCATGGGGCTGTAGTTGCTGTTGTGATAGGCGGTGCTACCGGTACGTACAGTTCAATTTACATGTATGGTTGAAATGATCTTGCTTAAAAATGGAGTGCCTCACTTCAATATGAGATGGGTTCCAATTACAATTCAAAGTTCTAGAATTAGAGAATTTTAGGATTATCACAAATTGTTCCATTCCTTGCACTTTAAGTATTTAATTTCTTGATGGTTTTCAAGGACTAGGAGGCAATTTTCATCCTGCATTTTCATCACTTGCCTGTACAAGTAATTAAGGTCTATAAATCATGTTGGGTGATTATCTGGATAACACATTATTTCCTGGTGCAATTTATAATTCTATGCCTGTTAGGAATTTACATCTACATGTATAGGAGATAAATGAAAGAATATTTCTCTGTTCCTTTGGCCCATCGACATTTTTTGTCCAAAAATCTTCGAACCTAAGTTTAAATCTGTAAAAAAGAGGTTGCATCTTGTGCCTACTCCACACTTTTCCAGGTCATGACGCTATCCCAAAATGCAATAAAAAGAACAGATATCAATTGAGAATACAACAATAAAATTATGAACGATGCAGTAACAAAAATTATTAACAATAAAAAGTAACATAAATTGAAGCAAACCTCCATGTGTTTTGACCAAAAAGTTTTAGTACCTGACTCAAAAAATTATATCCATAATAAAAAATTGTTTCTACTCTGTGTCAGCCTTTTTTATTAGTGTTGCAACACTAACCCTAGCAATGAAGTTAATTAGGGGAGTCATCATACATTCTACACTCTAGTGGGAAATATGTGGTACCAGGACATTTGAAAACATGACCAGAAAACATACCCGCAAAAAGAATCAGCTTATTTATGCAAACCCTAGAAATATGCAAATAGATTCAATATTCAAACAATGGAGTTTTAGCCTTTAAACTTTACCTCCATGTGTTTCCAATCTTTATTGGATCACTCAGTATTCATCATTATTCTGCCGCTTATCGCATGATAAGCACATAATTATACCAGCAAAAAGAACCAACTTTATGTAAGCCTGGAAATATTCAAATGAATGCTGATAAGGTGACGGTACCAATAACAGCCAGTGGATATCTTCAATGCATTTGTATGAAGATGAACCAGCCTATAGGCCCTAATTAAGAACATTTCTCTTTCTTTGAACTGAACACAACACCAAACAGTGCCCCCTCCCCAACACTATCACCTGCCCCCTGCCCCTCCCCCTCTGAGAAAGTTCTTCATCAAATAACAGAAATTTAAGCAAAGAATGACTCTGCAATGATCAGAACACCTAGTTCAAGGGAAACATGCCTCAATAAAACTTTTTTGATAAAACAGTTATGTTAGGAAACTTAAGTACGACGAAAATCTGCAACAAGGCCCAATATTAAACAGGTACAAGCAACAGACAAACATGTACTGTGTGTATGTGATTTTAGAAGAAAAACAAGTGTAAATTCTGGAAAATGTCTATGCAAAAGGACAAGGGAAGCTTTGGTGTACATTAGCAAATCAAATTTGTGGACAAACTGGAACTGCAAATCTAATTTGAGGACTATTCATTGAGGGTTATAATGGGAAAACTCTTTGTTAGGTACATAATATTGTGAGTAAATCATTAATAAAATTAGGGCACTCTCTAAAATTCTACGTGTCCTCATGGCGCAATTCCACATCATGCTTTATTGAGTCTTGCAAAGAAAAGAATGTGTACCCTCCACAAGAAAAAAATGCTTATTATTCCTTTGAAGCAAGGATATTTTGAAGACCTGAATATGTCGAGATGTTTGACTTCGCAACATACAGTCAATCTCATGTTATAAATTAACATCAAGTATGCAAATAATTAAAAGCTGAGGAAAATAAAGTACAACCACCCAAGCAACATTCAAATTGAAATATGCCTGTTCCACAAACTACATGTAGGTATGCAGCTTTAAACTGCATTTGAAACAATCCAAATATCTCCCTGAGACATTGTGTTCTGCACGCAGACTTTCTATCTTGGTGTCACAGATGACATTTGGATTACAGTGCCAATTTTTCACAAGGCAGCACAGAGCGAACTGGAGCACACACGATATGCGAACAGCATATCTGATATCAAGAAAAGAAAAAGTAGGACTACATATGGGATTACAGTGCAGCCCAGTACCCACAAGTCAAGGCAAGGTGGGGATGTAAATCAATAATAATATGCTGACACAGATAGTGATTCATTTGGCACTAGTGGATCCAAACAATTTGGACAATTGTGCTATCAATTGGTTTTACAATGTATTTTCACAAAAGAAACAAGCTCAATAGGGAAATTTCTATGAGATATATTGGATTCTGAAGATATTTCTGTGGGAACTGCAAAAAGTTTTAACAGGCTTTTTGCTAGTCTGAAACACGCAAACCAAGTTTACAAATGTACAAAAATCTCCTGTGCCTAATTCCCAGTTCCTGAACAATTCAAGGGCATTACATCTAATGTATTCCCATACTGACTGGGATACGTGACTGGGCAACCATTATCCAAAATATTTTCTGAGCAGTTTTTTTAGGAAGGAAAATGTAATGGATTTCATTGATTTTGATCCCCTGGAGGATGGGAAAGCTTTCAATAATTTTGAAACTGTGAGAAGAACACGATTTTGATGAATTTGAAGGAAACTAGTTTTTATTCTAAAAATGTCCACACCAGGGCTAAATTAGGATAACTGAACCCCACGCAGACAGTAAAGTGTATCATGCACCAGCATAAAAAGTACAAATTTGTGGGCAAGTGTGATTCAATTTTTAGACAAGATACGTGTAGATCTAAAAAATAATCTTAAATAGTTTTACTGAAAGTTTACAATTGGTTAACACTTACAAATCCAGAGTAACATTTTCTTTGTGGGAGGGAAGAATTTTGGTAGATGGACTAGGGAAGGGGGTTCATATCCCCTCTTCAAACCCCTGGATCCATCCAGGGTAAACTAAGCAGAGTGCAAGAGAGCCTATTAATGAGCTAGGATGGATCTTGGTGCCATACCAATCACATGCCGGTACTCCACACGTACATGACGGAAACCCATAAGTAGGTGTAACAAATCCCAGATCCAAAAACCCACTGTACTAATTATTCAGAACCAATATGAAGTCAAAGCAAAGTGAAATTTTAGATTGAATCCTCATACAGGTGTGGATATGATTATATTCAGAAAGTAAGATCTGGCAATCGGGTTGTGGCCTTCCATGGGAGCAATTAGGGCATTAGGAGAGTGCAATGCGACAAACAGGTATTAAGTCTGTCCTGATTAATGTATGAAGCAGTTGATGAGCCACAGAGACCTTGGGGATAGAACACTGCATTGTAATTAGTCCCACAGCTACATGTAGGATTGAAAAAAGTTCAATGGCTTAACGGCGACACCTGGGAGCTGTATCATCTGTTTTAGTGCAGAAAGCAATTCATTTCAGGGAAAATAATGAAAACAAACATTTTTCTCTTGGAGTAAGGTGGATATTTCAGCACCCCTATACCCTTTCTCAACTTGTATGGATTAATTTAGATTAGATTATATTAAATTAGATAAACTTTATTAAATCAAAAACTGGAAATGAAATGACATGTTGTTTGGATTGCATACATGTACAATTTACAAAGGATTCCCTACATCAGCATTTCATAGACAATTTGTCGGTGAATGTTTTAGGCATTCTTCATTTTATGCAACTTTTCATTGGCAGAAGGTGATTTATACCCATAAATAGTAGTCAAGTTTTGTACAAATTCATTAGTGAATTTTCACAGGTCTCGTACAAGTTCGACTTGTCTCAACAAACACAAACCAGTTCATATACCCAAAAGTAAAGAACTGTTTCAATATAGGCTCTTGCTAGGTCACACAGTGCAATACTTCTACCTTTATGCACAAAATACCACACATCAGGAATCGGAAACAGATACTGCATGCTCTATAGTGTTTTCCGGAGCAGGTTATTTGTCAAGATTTGGAAGCAAGCCAAGATCATATTGTGGGCTTCACTATTATAAGCCAGCAATGGGATTTGGTAGGCTCAAAGCTTTCAACTCGAGTTCATTCTGAGCCTTTATTACCCGAAGCCCCTTGGTTTATTAGACACAACCCTAGAACAGAAACCCTCAGTGGGCGGCTGGGTGCAAAAGAAATGATTTCTTCAGGGACCTGCAGACTAGCTTACAACTGGTAATAGTTGGGTAAAAGGGATCTTGGGAGAAATGTCTTGGCTAAATGTGAGTGTTGCCTGAAGGGTCTAGACGTCATTCACACCTTTAAATGTCAAGTTTGTTCTCCTGTGAAAGCTTCTCTGTCCACTTGAGATCGATTAGGTTGTTTTTATTCTTTTTGATGAGGTAATACTTAAGAAGAAAATAGCTGAGGAAATCAGACAACCCTTTGGCTTTTGTATGTCTCAAGTGATTATTAAGTGGATCTTTTATCACCAAATAAAACAGCTTCAGCAAACAAAATGGGAACTGTTTTTTTTCTCTCCAGATTCTCTAACTTTCTCTGTTATTTCTCACCTGTTACCTCTCACTTACAATTACATACTGTAGGTTTCCAGATTTGATATTTTCAATTTTCCACCAGAAGGAGCTGGTGCACAGTTATGGATAAATGCTAACAGAAAAGGGCCTGCATTCCTGAGTAAAACTAAATTTTGCCCTGTAATTTGAAACACAAGTGCAGTACAGCTTATTTTTGCTGTTCACATCTGACAAATGTATGCCATTGAAGTCCATTTTCAATTTCAGCTCATGCTAACTCTCCTACAAATATGCTCATCTCTCTGTTGATGTCTTTACAAATACCCCTGAATACATGAGTCAGGGCTGTCATTTTTACAAAACCAAGAACACTTGTAAGAAAGCTATGATGGGATTTATCCA